CAGTTGAAGTCCAGATTTAGAAAGTGAATTAGGAGAATAGAACAGAACAAAAGTGACAAGATGACAGGACGGACTGGAGGAAGCGCTGTTGCTGGCCGCTAATTATCTCGGTTGTTTCATTGATCCCTTAGATTAAGATTACCAGGGATGGAATTGCAAGAGACAACCATAAAATTGTGTTGGGCCATGCTTATTTGCCGTTCACTTGCATCTGTTTGACCTAGGTCTGTGCACAATTATTCCTCCCTGGCTCTGACTCACAAACTAATAATGAAGGACAAACAAGAATTCTGTGTGTCAACTCCCCGCTCCCCTCAGATCTCATATGAAATCTTTGTCACTGTCAACAGAGCCGTGAGCTCTGGGTTTCGTGTCCTGCCAGAGGATATCCAATATGAGGCCATGGGGTATTTCTCTCTTGACATCTGTTTGAGGAAGAGTGTTCTGTTTTCCACTTATGAAGGAGAGGAAAGAGCTGAAGGATGAAGAAAAGGAGGATGAGGGGCACGATGAAGGAGTAGCAGGACACACACGTACCTGTTTATGCTGAAGAGTCTGCCAGTCGTCGCCACTCAGAGCGCCAGCGTTCCCATTAGCGACTCTTTCCCCTCCACTACTGTCTGTGTGACTGAGGAGGCTGCTGGCTGGGTTTTGACGGGCTGTTGTGGGACTGAGAGGGGACTCTGGCATCTCAGCTAACATCATAAAAGAAGCTGGTTATCAAAGATGTAAGCTGCAAACTTCTACTGCTATTTGAAAAAAAGAAAATCTCAAAGACAGGACAAAGAAACTCTAATTAAAAAATATTCTTACAACCAAAACAAAAATAAAATGTTTCAAGGAAGGCCTAAAATAGGCTGAAATATGCTGCAGATAATATTTAGAGGACTGCTGACAAAAAAAAAATATAGATACATTTTTGACTTTCAAGTAAAGATTTCAACAATTTTAATGAATGCCAATCATAAAAAACATTAGTGCATGCTTTTTTTGACCTGTTATTGACTTCCTAACATTTAAACGATAATACCCTGTAAGATTTAATCATTTAATACCATCAAAAATCAGAATGATTGATTGTAACTGGATGTATCCAGAAAATCGATCTGTAGATTATAACATGTATAGGCATGAAAGAAAATTAGTCAACATATCTTACCACTGCACAAAGGCAAAGCTAATAAAAAGCTCCCTAACAATAGTTTAAACACATATCCTGTTACATAAAACATGACTTTAAGTTTTCATATAAAGTCCTGAAATGCACAGGAAGTACAATCTAAGCTCTCCTACTGAAAACGAACAAAAGCTTCGTACCGTTAAGGTGAACAGCTGAATTCAGAGCAGCCAAGAAGAGTTGGTGTCTTCAACTAGGCAGTTTGGAGTGTGGATGAGAGATAACTGATGGAGTTGTGTGACTACCTCGAGGGGAGGAGTCACAGCACTGTGAGCAGGAAAAACAATATTATAAAATCAGCCGGCGCTACAAATATATTTAAAACATAAAAGTGCCGGCAAAAGTCTCCTGCAATGTTAAAAATCTCCTCTTAAAATTTGAATTGATTAATGTAATTTACATTGTAAGAATACAAACATTTATAGAACATGTATTATTCACATTAGTGCATACAGCACACACAGCGTTGTGCTTCCCAGCTACCTGTTTTTTTTTAATCCTGACACTATTTTTCTTTGAGATATTCATAGATGTGCACAGTGCAATAAGCAAAACGCCCCCTAACACACATCATTTATTGCCTTAAATGAAAAACAAAGAGTCCTTTTTACATTTCTTAGAGGAGACAAGTATAGTTTTACTTTATTTAGATATTCAGTATCTAAGACGTCTGAAAAAAGGGCTCTCTAACCACACAACTGTCAAACTCTTATCAAAGAGCTATTTACAGTTGCGTCTGCACATTTGAAAAAAATTTAAAAAAAAAAACACAGCAGTACATAAAAACAAATAGAAGTGTTTAATTTAGCCTGCTGATGAATGCAGTATACCCTAGAGTGCAGACACGCAGCTGACAAACTGACAAATAACACTTTGAATAACTCTCGACATGTCTGAGACAAAATAAACTTTGTGGAAGACAGTTCTGCACAATCATTATGGATTTATTTTAAAAAAATGTTTACTTTCAGCGTGCCACCTTTATCATATAAACGTCCTCGACGAGGGTGAGGACTAAAGGCCAGACAGCCACGTCCTTGTAATTTATCTCTTGTTGGTATGAGGGATCGCAAGGAAAGGCTCAGAAACCTTTAGTTTCCCCTCAAATAATCCAGACAAAGAATTAATGTGTTAGCTTAAAAAATATTTATAGCAATAATGCACAATAAAACGTGTTAAAAAGAAGCCTTTTACATCGTGTATATTCACAGAAGTAACAGCTGAGGGAAATGGACTTGTACGTCTTCACAAAAGTACAAGATTAGACTTCATAGCAGGTAATGACTGACTTGTGTATATTGTTACCAAGGTAACTTTCTGCCACCTACTGGATTAATATTTACCTGCCTTCCAATTTGGATGAAAAAGGTAATAATGTGTTTTTTATATATAGGCACCTTTCAAGACACTCAAGGACACCTTACAAGCAATTAAGTATCAAAATCACAATATGGATATAATAACAGTTGGAAAACACCATGGAATTAAAAGTCAATACATCATTAAATACTACTAGTGTCGTGTGTATTCACATCTTATATTTGTTCTGCCTCCAGCTTGTTCTGTTTCATTATAAAATCATTTAGGGATTTGAAACGAGTTCTTTTATTTGTTTTTGTTTTTCTAAACTCTTTTACTGTTTCACTCTTTCACAACTGGAGACTGGAAACCTAAAGGGTGGTGGTGTCCTAGCCTTGATTGTGTGTGACTCTCTTTCAGTTCAGCAACCAACCCACTGTGATGCACTAAGGCTCATAATGTGATGAGGTCCCCTCATTTTATTCCTCTACGTGTCCTGCAGACGGCATTGCGGCTCCACCTGAGCCAAGGACTCGGTTCACAAACCAGTCGTTGTGCTCGTTGCTGTTCCTCCAAACAAGACCGGGGTTCCTGAGATAGAGAAACCTCAAGTTGATTTTCTGGGAGAGGGAAGACAGGATGACTTTGGCAATCAAAGCAACACCACAGAGTAAGAGCTTAGACAAGGTCTGTGTGTCCTCAGAAGATTTAGGAAGAGTTAGTAAGGATGCTGAAAGAGGTTCTAACAGCATTTGTTGCAGTTATTACTGCCGCCAAGGAGGTTATACACCAAATAGAGCTCGAAAAGGTTTGAATGAATTTTGAGTGGGGTCATATTAATAACCCATTAAAATTTCACTTCCATCCACCAAGGTCTTTAAAATGGACAAAAAGCCTTATAAATTAGAAACTATGATTCTTATAAGTGTAATGTGTATTATCAGCATATAGAAAGTACCTTGTAAAGATGAAAATAAATAATAATAATAGATAATAAAATAAAAATAAAAAATGTGAAAAACTATGTTTTCTAAATATTCCCTATATGCCTATATTGACTACATATAAGCATATAGGGAATGATATATGGGAATTCTAAATATCGCTTTACTGGGAACGTCTGGCCTATTCTTCAGAGTCAAATAAGGTCAAAGTTTCATAACTTTTATCTTTAAAACTGCACTTAAAATTCTACTGCCTTTGTATTGGTGACATTTAGGAAATGATGCTGCTATATGAGGACTCTAAATATCACACTATAGTCTGCACTGAAATATCATGTGATGCTTGACCTCTGACCTCATTACTTTTCTCATCTGCCTTTCTTTCAAGTTGACCTCAAAAAGATTTCTAGCTATTAAAAAAAGTATGATCAAGAGAAAGAGCATGAGCTGCCTAGTTATTTTGAAATATAATGTAGTATAATATTATCTACATTCATTTACAAATCACTACCTATTATCCATTACCTACTGATACATAATGTTTACAGTAAACATCTGTCGGACTGCCCTTATCGGATGTTTACTGAGTTACAAATTCTTAGAACATGTTTAAAAGGAACAAAGAAAAATAAATGAATGCATACAAAATACAATACTTGTCTTAAAAGTAAATACTGCTTCATGTTTTGTTCTATAATGATGCTGCTCTCCTCTGTCTCAGGTACATGGTTAAAATCACTTCCTGCTTTTTTCTTCTATATTGTAAAAAGTGTCAATAATATGTAGCATGACGCTTCCTTCCTCTGTATTCATGGTTTATTTTCACCCTACCTTCCACGACTGAGCACTGCAATAAAGGTATTCTGTCTGCATCACATCCTCTAACAGCCTGGACAAAAGCCTTGTCTCATACGAATCAATCAAGGGCTTACCATTCATTCTTATTCATTGTTAAACAATATGTTTTACTCACTAATACTAAGCGCTCACCACTTTTTTGGCAATTATGCAAATTTGTCACCTGTAAGATAAATACAGGAAATATTACACACTAGAGCCATAAACTGTATCATGGTATCTGCCAATGTGATAGGTGGATAATAGATAAATCTAATGTGGAATGACTGTTTCTCACCTTGAGACTTTCACAGCTATTAAATTATCAGATATTCACAGATTTGAAATGATTTTAAACAGGATGCAAGTGCAATGGAGCCCGTTGTGGGCCAGAAGTAACAAAACATAAATAGTTTCCATGGTAAATCCCATGTGGCTGTAAAAATAACATTATAACTCCCTTGGGGTTCATGGATTCTACAAAGATGTCCACAAAATATTTAGACTTTGGGGTGGTTTTGTAATAAGAAACTTAGATGATTATCAACTTATAGTTTAGATTAGGTCATACAAGCCCTCAAAAAACAAAAAAACAAATACGGCACTGGGTCATTCATTCTCTTCAGGAGAAGACTTAGACTACTGCACATAGTTTAAGTCCCTTCTGGCCTATTTATAGTGTTGGCCCTCGCAACAATGTCATCTGTAATTTGACTCCATCTGTTAAGTCAGAGCATGAATGTCAGTTGCCAGAAGCAGCGCAGTTCATTTTCACGCTGAGTCTCTCACAGAGAGCTTCATGGATTTTTGGGGGCAGCCAAGAGGGTCTGGGGCCTGTAACTTCTTAGGAGTCCCAGTCCTCAGCTCCTGGGACGTGGACGATGATGAGGGCGAGGTGGTCATCGGCATCAGGCCAAAATCCTCTCCTCTCCCACGGAGAAAGAGCTCTGTGTCTGATGAGGACTCGGAGCCTGAGCCTCCCATGTGTGGCTCCAGGAGAGTTTCCTTCGCAGATGCCAAAGGCCTCAATTTGGTTCAAGTGAAGGAGTTCGACACGTGGGACGTGCCCAAACTGCCAGGATACGACACATCTGATGGGGAAGGCAATGATGAAGATGAATACATTCTTTCACCTCTTAATTTTTCCCTCCCGTTATTAACCGAGGAGCTACTGACCAAGGTCCAGGAGCAGAAAGTAGAGCTGGAAAAAATTGAGTTACTTCCAGGGACCACAATAGTAAAAGGGGTGGTGCGCGTCCTCAACATCTCCTTCACTAAGGCGATATATGTTCGAACAACTTTGGACTGCTGGTCCAGCCACTTTGACCTCCTGGCTGAGTACATCCCTGGTTCCAGCGATGGGCTGACGGACTGTTTCTCATTCACGCTCACTTTGTGGCCTCCATTTCGGGACGAGGGGGCCAGAGTTGACTTTTGTCTGCGGTATGAAACACCTGTGGGGACGTTCTGGGCCAACAACGCCAACAAGAACTACGTCCTGTCATGTTTCCGCAGAACAAAGGAAAACGATCAGCCACAGAAGGAAAAAGTGAACAAGAAAAGCTGCCTCAAGACAGCCAGGTGAGAATACAAAGTGATTTCATAAAACATTTTTAGGCACATTTTTTAGGTTTATTTAATTATAGGAATTGTGCATGGTCAGGGGAATGTCCATTATGCTTGTTATGGAAGATTGTAAAGGCCATTTCCTGCCTTGAATTAAATATCGACTATTCATTAAAAATGTCCTTTGCTAGTTAGTTTTGTAACTTAAGTTTTTTTGGTGATGACTATGTGAGGTCTATAATTTGAATAACTCATATATATAGAAGAAATATGCTTCTTCTTCTTTTCTTTCTTTTTTTTTTACATTATAACCAATCTAGACTTTGTGAAATGGACAACAGTCACAGTTAGAAAATACACAATTTCACATCTCACACATATAAATACTTACAAGTTTTTAACAATTTAACACTTTTTAATCAAAACAATTTGTGTATCTCAGCACTGTCACCTTACGTGGTTTGTTGATTGACGATAATCACCTGAAGCTACGTGAAAAAGAAAAGCGAATTAACCCTGACTGATCGCATTTTTAATTAATTAACTTATTACAGTTCGAACTCCAGCGTGGAAAACAGTTCAGGAAAGGAGTCGTCAACACAGGGAAATATTGCAGCAGGTGAAAATTTTCCTTTTCCCCACTGTGAAATGAAGAAATGACCTGAAATTGAAGAAAACTGCTTTGATAGCCCAGCAGGATCATAGATAAAATGTTTCTTGTCTCCAGATGTGTCCAACAGTGGACTAGAGGGTGACACTTTGAAATCTAAGAATGATCAGTCAGGAATGTCAGAGGAACATGGACAGAAATTACTGGTGAGTGGAAAAAAAATGTTGCCGATACGACTGATGACGCAACAGTTCCAATTCTGTCCTCCTGACATTGTAAATCCTCACATGCAAAATGTTGTAAAGCAGGGGTGTCAAACATAAGTCCCAGGGGCCACAATCGGCCCAGCAAAGACTCCTATCCTTTTATTGTAATTCTGAACATTCGTTACAACCCAAAGAGTAGTGCTGACAGATTCTTTTCATTTTACAGCAACGTTTCTTTATCATGTAGAAAAAAATGAGATGTATTATTAATATTGTACCTTTTTTTTAATAATATCTCAGGGATTAAACATGTAGTTCACTGGTCCGGCCCACGAAACACTGAAGTGGGCCATAATGTAAGATGAGTTTGACATCCCTGCGTTAAGTTTTCTACATATATGATGTATTATTAGCAGTGTAAAGGCATTTAAAGGATCGGTATGACTGTGAGGTGCAGGAGGAGCAGAGAGCTTAACATGACCCTGGTGCACTTTTTCAGAGAGGGTCACATAACTGGAGTTGGGTACCACCAGTATAACATAATGTGCTGTGCACCTAAAAAAAATAAATAAGAAGTGATACTTGCAGTTTGTGCTTTCTCACAGTTTCAATTACATTTAGTCAGGCATACTTTGTTTTTTTTTTAATGTCTTCTTGTTGTGAGAAACGCAGCTTTAAATTTTACCTCACTTGGTTTTCTTTAAGGGGCATGTTGTTGAAATGAATCTATCTGTGTTGGTGGACAGATTGAGAGCGGAGTAAACGACAGCCAAAGGAGTTGCAGAAAGGCTGCACGGATGGCCCGGGTGAGGGACTACTTTGCTCAAAGAAACGGAGACGCCAACAACGCAGATAGAGACGAATCACCTCCAGGGGTACCACAGGCAGCTCGAGAAGAAACCCCAAAGGAAAGCCATACAGATGTGCAACTGTTTGCTGAGAGCAACCGCAAACCAGAAGGTTCCCAAGCAAAGTGCAGCAAACCCCTCCTCAGTGTTTCACATGTTTTGTCACCAGCACTTGACCGAACGTCTGAGAACGAGCCAGAGAAATCTGAGAGCATTGCTTTGGCTGCCTCAGTCACATTAGCAGAAGGTGAGAGTGCCACGGACATCCAAGATGACCTGTTTGATAATTTTGCTCAAGCAGAACAGCAACATACCAAATCTCAGGACAGTAGTCAGGAGGCAGACATGGGTCATGAATACATTAGCAGAACAGCAGTGAGAAATGAAAGTCTTGTTGGCCAGACCAGCAGCTTCACATTTGGCACTGTGGTGGCTCCGCTGTATCACCAGGTGTTTGGCAGAGTGGGAAGTGAAAGTCAGAGAGGAGCTGGCTGGGAAAATCCTGCACGGGCTACACTGAATATTGGAGGCTTACATCCTCACACTGGCATGAGACAGATTAGTTGCACTGTTTCAACAGATATTAAAAGTAACAATAGTAAAGCACTTCGAAATGTGATTAATAACCAGAAATCAAACCAGGAATGCACAGACATAGCACCATGCAATAATCGTGTTGAAGAAGAAGAAGAAGAAGAAGAAGAAGAAGAAGAAGAAGCAAGTTTAAGTCTGACATTAAATGCAGAGACTCTGCAGGTTCTGGCTGGGACTGAAAATACAGACGGGAGATGCACAAGCACACTTAAGGGTTCACAAACTTGTTTAGAAGACACATTAAGCTGTCCTGAGACTGTAAACATTTTATCGCAAGCAGATTTGTTGAATCCACAAATACCGGCTGAGAGTTTATATCCCTGGGGAGAAGCACAGGAAGACAGTGTAACACATGACCCCCAAGGCCAAATTACAGCAGAAACAACACAGTGTCCACTCCCAGGGAATCCATGTACACATGATAAAACTAATCTGGATGAAACGCACGCAAAAAGCGATACACATGAAGTCAGGACCAGTCCGCAAACATCATTTGTAAAACTTGAAAGCTCTGGGGACCTGCTGGGACATGTTAATGAAGAACCTGACCAACAGAGCGCCGACTTAGAAGAAAAATGCCATGAATGTGAGTTAATCAAAGCTCTGTGTCCTGGTAACGCATCTTTTAGTGAGGTTAAACCATGTGAAGACTTGCATAAGTTGAATTTGCACCACAATGACAATTCAGTTACAAAAGCAACTGTTCCTGACTGCAAACTTGTGGAGAAATCAGATTTCACAACACCCGAGACACTTCTGGAAGCTCGAGGAGAAACTAACAACATGGGAGAAGGCAGTAAAATGACACACGGCTCACTCAAAGATGAATCAAAATCCTCTGGTGAAACTGAGGTAACAGGGGAGTTGGCTGAATGTGTGACTACAGAGACACAGGAAAAAACAGAGCATTGCAAAATCAAAGCTAAGGAGGAGGCTCTCTGTTTAGGAGAAATCACTGAAGTGAAGGACTGGGAAATGATGGTTAAAGAAGAAGAAAACAACATTTTAATACACGAAGAAGAAAGGGAGATAGTATATTTAAATCCGGGCGTCTGTGAAGTAAGAGAAAAAGAAATTGCAAATGAGGAATTTGTCAAGGCGAGGGCAGTGACAGGAGTAGAAGAGGACAGCGAAACAATCGGAGAGGCTATCGCTGGAGAAGATGGTGCCAGTACTGAGGTAGAATGTGCTCAAGTCATAAAGATGAACAAAACAGGTGGAAGGGAAGAATTAACTGAGGAGAACCAAGTACAAGAAACAGAGGGACCAGTAGAGACAGAGCTGCACACAAAAAAACACTTTGCAGGAAAAGAGGTCAGTATTGAATGGGCACACATCCAAGAAAACGAGGAGATAAAGGGAGATGGGAAAATAAACGTGAATAAGGAAGGTGAAGGCAGAGCAGAGCGGGAGAAAGAACCAAAGGAGGGAAACGGAGAGGAGCTGGATCCACGTTACGAATTCCTAAATTACAGAGCAGCAGAGGCGGAGCTTGTAGAATCACATTCACGTGTGGCGAAACAGGAACAAAAAGATCCAGAACTGTGTTTGGAAGAGAAGTTAGAAATTACAGGAAGCAAGGATGGAGAGGTTTTATCTGCTCTGGTGCACAGTGGGCTGAAGGGTGGCGACGAGAGCGTACCAGTGAAAGAAAATATAGGAGAAGAGCAAAGTGCACACATTCAAACTGAAAAACAATGTCTTCACACCACAAAAGCTCAGTCAGAAGATGGAAATGGTTGTGCTTCTGCAGAGGGGGGCGCTTTAACGGATGAACCTGAAAGTGATCAAACAAGCCAGGACAGCGCTTCGGCAGAGTCGGACTCGGGCGATGAGGTGGAGCTGTACATGCACTGCCTGAGGGCCGTCGGCACAGGAGGATGGTCCCACGAAGACAAGAGCACTGTGAGCAAAAGGCCCCGTCTAAGCAGAACCAAACTGCTGTCTGCCACTATGCCGCCCATCACTGAATATCACGATGAAGAACAACACCTCAGTTGCCTTCAGGAGAAGCTTGAAGACAGCAATGCCGCTGTTTCCCCTGCAGAGGAGCGCATGGGTCAGAGTGTTTTGTCCTGGACAGACACGTTTTCCTGTAGCAATATTGCAAAATCACTGCTATATGCAACCCTGCTGGTGGTGTTTTTAGTTGTGACATACCATTATGACTTTTTTGCCTGTTTGGGCCTCTACTTGATATCTCTGGTTTGGCTCTGCTGCCGAGAAGAGAAGTAACCAGTTAAAAATGACAACACAATGGGCTGAATTAAAATGTAATAATAATAATAAAAAAAACAATATGTTTGATTTTAAAGGTTTTCAGAGTGTACATGGTACTGATGTGATACCCAATTCTTCTTCCAGTGATGACTAATGCATGATTTAGACTGATTTTTGCAGGAGATCTATGCTGTTACTTATACTGTAAACTCCTTTAACCCTGCACCATAACCTTCCGCGCAACCTGCTGCAAGCCCACCGAAATGTAACTACATGTCGGGGTGTCGCAGCATCGACTCGAACAGCGTGGATGGATGTGGCGTAGGGGGAAAAGGGGCTTCCGGTTACATCGTGAGTTAGGAAGTAGATTTCCAGCAGAAGTCCAAATTAAGCTCAAGAAGACACAGTTAGGCAGATATCACACACATTTGCTGTCATAAGTCATTATTCTCAATGCTTCACTGTACATAAAACCTACATTACAATGATTACATTGATCAGTTCTGCAGCTTTTTCAAGGTGAAATACACTACTCACTGAAGCTAATGAGAATGTTTAATTTTAATTTTAATTTTTCGATCATGCTTTAAAAAAATGAAATATTTTTCTGGTATACTACATTTATTTTTTAGTGTAGATGTCATGCGCATGTTTTTTGTTTTTAGGTGTAGCCCTAAAATCAGTATCCATGTGCAGGTTCATCCAGGTCAGGGTAGTCTTGAGAGACTAAGGAAAGGAAGGAAATTGGATTTCTTTGGGTTTGTGATGATGTTTTTCTAATCATCCAAGAGGCTTCTTCGGTTCTAAAAAATGGTAGAGGGTCCAAGTATTTAGACTCTGGTAAAAGGTATGAGTCATTACTGTTACCAGGGATTAAGGGCTGAAACCACTACGAGACCTTTCCCCAATCCATCATGTGACCGACTGAGGTCACCTGAGGTGAGGTAAATGGTTCTTAAATGGTGCTTTTCTGCTCAAGCTATCAAAACACCGTATGCCACACCCATTCACACACACACATGATACTGAGTTACATCACTTTTTTCCTGCATCTAAGTGCTTTTTAACTAACATTTACAGTCCAGTGAACGCACTCAGCGTTTAGTATCTTCTTTGGCCAGGTCACACTCACCCCAATGGTTTGAGTGGGGTCATTGAAGTTCCTGGGATGAATGAATAAACCCAGATAGAAATCAAGTCACTTGGACCCATAACTTTTGTTTTCAACTTTGACTTTTAGCTGTGCAAGCTGAACACAGCTGCTGTATGACTTCAGGGAAAAAAGGATTAGCGTTCCCTTTTAAAAAGAAACACCATAACATTTATAAGCCGGACACACAAAAGGTATAAACAGGGGCTTCTTTTTGATTTGAAGTGTTTCTAAATAAAGACAGGATGGTTCCGAGGTATCATGTGAAACACGTTGTAATGCTGTCTTTTGTCTGGAAGCTCACTGACTTTGTTTAGTTTGCAGCCATGAAACTACCCAGTTAGTTGACCTAAAAAGGTGTTTCTCTCAGAAGTAAACCCTTTAGAGCAATAGCAATGCAGTTTTATTAGCTTGGCTGACATGTTGACTAAACCCTATACCTCTTGGATTGTTTAATAACTTTTACAAAGTGAAAGATAGTCAGGCAACTGTCGTCTTTGTCAGACTAACAGGTGCCTATCTGACCTCTTTTTAGGTGTTTTTACTTGGATACAATGATAAATCAAATGTGCCGTGAGAATGGGGATAATGCATTTTTAAAAGTTCGTTTCATTAGAAATACTAGCATTAAAAATTTTATATATATATATATATATTTCTATTGTGTATTGTGTGAGCCACACTTTATGAAGCATAGAATTGCTTTAGAAGCAAAGGGAAATCAAATTGATACAATAAAAATCATTTAAACCGAGATGAGACGCAATTTAATAAATTGTAACTCATAGGGCCATTTTTTCCTCCACCAAAATATTAGTACATGTCTCGGGTTCCACAATACATCTAATAAGCATATCTCCAGCTAAATAAACAGTGCCTTAGCCACCATGTGATGTGTGATATTTTGGGAGAGAGAAATACTTCACTGTCAGAGGGTTTAAGAATTTATAACTACAACAAAAGTTTAAATAAAGCTACAGCTGTCCTCACTTCACATGAAATCTGTGTTTAAACTGCAAATAAATAGACACCCTCTCCAGACACTTCATAAAGTACACTGTACTAAAATCAGGTTGGACTCCCCTTATCCCTTCAGAGCTGCCTCAATTCACAGATTCAACAAGGTGCTGGAAACACTGCTCAGATAGTTTGGTCCCTATTAACATAGCGTCACACAGTTAGTGTGGATTTGTTGGCTGCATATCTATGATGTGAATATTCTGTTGCACGCTCTATTGGACATAGATCTGGTAACTGTGGACGCCATCTGAGGTCAGTGAACTCACTGTCATGTTCAAGAAGCTGGTTTATAATTATTTGAGCTTTGAGCTCTATTATCCTGCTGGAAGCGTCCACTGGAAAATAGGAATACTGTGGTCATAAAGGGACGGACATGATCAGCCACACACAACAGGAAGGCATCTAAAATTTTATTCATGTTGTAGAATGTAGTCCCTGTGATAAAACTGTAGATTTCTAATATTTGTTATTACCTCGAGTCCATGTGGACATGGTTCTGCTGAACACAGATGTAATAAGTCCACTACCAATGTGGATTTAGTGACTATTTTATTTTCATTGGGGTTACACAGTGTCCACCGTAAGGCATTACCTCATATTCTGAAATGACTGAACATGCAGTTAATAATAGATGTTGTCCTGCAAACAGCATTGACATATATGGTATTTAACTTTTTCCCCTGTTGTTCAGACAGTGTCAGATTGTTTTCATTAGCCAGAGTCAAATTACCATCTCAGACTATAATGCTCTCCATCAGGATTTTCCAAGCCAATTTCCAGAAACAATAACCATGGATTGGCATCACTTGTGGGTTTTCAAATTCTTAGCCTATTTTAGAAAACATTGCATCATCTTTTCAAAGGTTTAATATCTGTACAGCTTTAGAAATGATCCTTCTTACACTATCCCATTTAACAGGACAGAACATCCTCTCCAGTCACCCTGTCTTAAATCATGATGGGGGTTGGAGGCGGGGGACTAGATCCTATATATGGGTCTGTTATAATATAAAAATCGTTTGGCTTCATGCAAAGAAGGGAAATGATATATAAGGATGGCACGTTGAACTATGTTCACAGTGAGATATTTCTGGAAGTGCTCCTGAGCTTGTGCAATGATTTACATGACAGTGCTGCCATAGAGCATCCAGTTTTGATTTTCAGCCTCTTCCCTTGCACACAGAGATTTCTCCAGAGTCTCATCACCTGTTGGTGACACTGTATTGTGATAATGATGACGTTGATGTCATTTTGCATAATATGCAGTGTCCCAACTTTTTCAGAACAAGGTTTGTATACATAATGCTAGCAAATTTATTTTACAGGAAGGGCTTCCAGTAGTTTCTTCAACACATGTCCAATATTTTAATTGGAGAACTAATAAAAGAAAGCAAACAATGACAAAAACACACAAAAAGTTATTCAGTTCAGTGGGATATTGTCTAAGAACATACATTTTTTGTAATATACTATCTTTGAATAGTTTTAGGGTTTAAACGAATAAATCAGTTGGCTAAAAAAAACAAAGTTTAGTTTTCTTTTGTAGATAAAAACTTTTGCAAAACACAAAACAACACTGTCTGATGTGTTGTTTACGATTTTTCAGCAATTTACAGATTTCCAAATGCACTTGAACGCTTCGCAGCACGCACGCCAGCTCAAGAATGCTTCCACGCCTGTGATTGGACGACGCGCTGTCAGTTTATGACGCGTGTATGCTCCAGGTAGCCAATCGGCTTCCCTGTTGTTGGCTCGTGCGCCGGTTCGCCGGTCGGGTTGCAGCCTGGAAAAGGGGAAACGACTGGCGGAGGGTAACGTCGGTGGTGCGGTGCTATGGACCCCAGGGACAATGTCGAGACCGGGGAGACGGAAAACCAGTCGGAGCTATTCTACGTGCCAATTCCAAGTGAAGCACCGTGCAAGAAGGAGCAGGAGAAACTGTCGGGAGTCGTCAAAAACGTCCACAGAAAACTGCGTAGGAAATACAGGGAGGGTAAGCAGCCTCAGTGGGCCCCTCTGTTTCTCTGTGGCCCTGCAGCCTATGGGCTGATACTGTTAGTTATCTCACAAATGTTGAAGTAACGTTAAAAAGTTAGCGGTTAATCCGGTAATCACGGATTTGTAAGTTGTTTTTTTGTTTTTTTTTTACTTCTGATTAGCTGTTGTGGTGGCAGACTCCTGTCGACAGCAGCGGGTTGCACCAAGCAAACGAGGCCTTGATTAAAGCTCCTTAGAAATAAATTGTGGCAGCTTACACAAGGCTCTTCTGCAAACAACATCTTATCTCTCGCTCTCAAACCTAGTCAACACACATGTGACATTTGACTGGTGAAAGAAAAAGAGTAACTTCCGATTGGCTCCCGGTTGTCAATAAAAGATAACTCTGTAGACTGAGCAAACAGTTGCCGCAACTTATACAACCTAATTAGTGTTGTTTCTGAGATTTGCTACCGTTCAGAGCCAGACAGCGAAAATAATTTAATTAAAAGGCACATTGGGATAGGCCAGAACTCCCCCCCCCCTTTCTAGTGGAGGTTTAACTGTGTCTTGAAGGATAAAAGAGCCAAAGGAGATCTTCAACTGTGGAGCTGAGATTGGGGGAAAAGAACCTCGTCTTACTTTTTGCCAGGAGAAAAACCACAAAGACGACACAGCAGGTTAAATCCTGTCTGTGGCTGTTGCTTCCTGCTGTTTCTTTGCACACGCGTCATGTAAAGAAGGAAGTTTGTGCAAGTTTGTGGAAGGTGAATCATTCACTTTCTTTAAATTATTGGGGCCACTACATATGAGAGACAAGCATGAGTCTTCTCCTTTTTTATTTTTTGATAAATATTCTCATTTTGGTCACAAGGGAAAACACTGTCTCTTTGTTTACCACTCTAATGAGTTTTATTTCAGGCAATTTGCAATTTGGGGATGATTAAAGAAGCAACAAAGTGTCTGATTACTGTGATTTCTTTGATTTGTTAATTTGGTGGGTATTAATGTCTCTTTGTTTGGCAAGCCTTGAAACAACATACAAATAAAATGACCAAATCATTATTGGCCCTTTTTATGCAAAACACAATGCAACCACATGCTCTGATGTTTGTGTTCAAGTAGATGAAATGGGAGGAGGTAATGGATCTTTTAGTTGCAATCACTGTATCAGTTCATAAGCATCCAACCATCTGTCTTGCTTCAATTTAAAAAAAAAAAAAAAAGGAAGTTTGGAAAACCCTGATCTCAGCTCATCAGCATGCATACGTAGCATCTGTTGTCTTATTTTACAGCCCAATCAGTGCGGTTAACTCCATGTTTGAGTTAGCAGTTGAAAGATATATTGATGAAAGATGTATTTTTTAACGTCCTCTGAATTTTAAATTTAACTACAAATCCTACAGAAGCTAGGATTTGTTCTGGTGATGACGTTGTGCTGTGCATAGTGAGGGAATCCATGTGGGAGGAGTGCACAAGAGGTAAATTTAAAATATCTAGAGGAAATAAATCTTTGGATGAGTCAATGGCCAGGACACAACGGTTTGCAAGATTTCTTTATATTTTCTTCTTCCAGTATAAACTAAGAATATGAATTAATCTCCTGCTTGAATGCATGGCTAGTTTGTTTCATTTGAACGGCTCTGAATCAAAATTATACAGTTGGCCATTTCACTGCTCAGAAATATGAAAGAAATCCTGGAAAGTTTTTTTTTTTTGAATAGTTAAAATAGTGTCGTAGTAAAATGCAGGCATATTAAAATGTCAAGTCTTGGTGTTATTTGTGTATGCGCTGCCCTACTTTACCACCATAAAACACTGCATAACCCTGGTAGTGTATTTAAAATGAGCTTGGATTAATTTGTGGTTTGAATAAGACCTCAGCACTGGAGAGAGTAGCTGCTTGTTTTGGAGCCTAGAAGAGCATAAAGAAGTCATCCTGCGAGCAGATCTCATGATTGGTTAATAAGCGAAGCATGATCTGGTAGGCTTGGCATGGAATCACAGTGGTCATGTTTTGAAAGCACTGCTGTTTACCACCAACTCCTCTTGTTGTCCTTTCATTTCTGCAAATCAGACATAGTTTTCTTTTCTCCCTTCTGGTCATGGGATTTTTCCCTTGTTGGCATGTTTGCTTGTGCTACGGGCTGTCAACGTCTGAGCAGCTGCAAATGGAAAATTTTGTGGACATAACTTTTATTGTGAAATGACTGTTTTGAGGGTGGGTTTGTTTTGTTTTATTTATTTATTATTTTTAGATGCACAATTCTGCTTCTGTGCAAGCAGAAACAAGTGAGACATAGGCAATATTGAAGTACCAGCAGTGACCTGAGATTTTTCAGCTGTTTTTTCCCCCCCCCTTTTTTCTAAGATCCGGTTTTGGTGATTTAGTGGATAACCAAAACTTGCAAGTAGGTTGTGAATGTTTTTCTGTCGTCATACAAGAGTAAGACTTGAAGTACTTGAAGCTGTTTTTTGCCATGTTTTGGATATTGCTGACCTTATTTTTAAGGGGGGTTTGATTTTCTCACTTAGTGGGCGACTTTGACAAGATCTGGCGTGAGCACTGCGAGGATGAGCAGACACTGAGTGAGTACGCCCTCGCCATGAAGAATCTTGCTGACAACCATTGGATCAAAAAGTGTGAAGGAGAGGGCCGGATTGAATGGTGTCGCAGGTATGAAGGTCTTTGGGCATGTTTTAGGTTTTATAGAGCCTGGTGAAATCGGACTAATCTGAGCCTGTAAAATGAGCTTCTGTAAACGCAGTGTTTTGATGCCACTTCCACAGCGTCTGTCAAGAGTACTTTTTGGATGGTGGAATGAAAAGAGTGTTAGAGAAGGATCAGAAAAGTGCCACGCTTGCTATGGGTGTGGGTACAGCATCTACGAGTGCCCAGCCGTACAGCACCATCCCCAGGTAAGATGAAGTAAGAGTGTTATCTGTCATGAGTATGACAGATAACACTCTATATCATATATATCATAAAGTCTTTGTCCAAAAAACAAGAAAAATGAATTGCTACGACCTGCCCTCACTCTATAGTAATAATAATGTGCAATAAACATACACTGATTCTTCTTTTTATTACTTAAGTTACCGTGTTGTACGTAGTGCCGATGTGGGACAGTTTTCCAATTTCATTGTACTATTGTACTATGTATGACTGTGCAATTACAAAGAGTTATCTTATAGTGTGTGTAATGCATATGATTTTGTGTATTATACTCATCAGGCATTGCATGTTGTTGTTTGTGCTACAGTTCGATCTCTCAGCTGGGGAAAATGCGCCTTCTTGATGTGGGAAGCTGCTTTAACCCTTTCTTGAAGTTTGACGAGTTCCTCACAGTCGGTATTGATATAGTGCCTGCGGTTGAGGTACGAGTGCATATTAATTCTGTTTTACATTTTAATTGACTATGTGCTTTTATACCATTTGTTTATTCACATGAAATGGATACAGTTTCCCACTTGGGTGTTTGCGTTATAAAGCAAAAACAACACCAGAAATGAGTCATGTCCTTTGCCAGTGCTGTGGTTAGACTACGTGAAGAAAATCAGCAGAACACAGAAAAAGTGACGCCCAACAGCTGCAAGTCATGAAAACAAACGAGCTGTGTAGAAATGTTTGCTGGCATAGATCAAGTTTGAACCCTGATTTGTGTTAAATTTGTGCTTTTTCAGAGTGTGTACAAGTGTGACTTCCTCAACCTCCAGCTTCAGCAGCCGCTCCAGCTGGCGGGTGATGCAGTCGAGGCTTTCCTCCGCCAGCTCCATAACCCCATCGATGCTCTGCCCGCTCAGCTTTTCCACGTGGTGGTCTTCTCCCTGCTTTTGTCCTACTTCCCCTCGCCATACCAGCGCTGGATCTGCTGCAAGAAGGCCCATGAGCTGCTGGAGCTGCATGGCCTGCTGCTCATCATCACGCCTGACTCTTCTCACCAAAACCGCCACGCCCTCATGATGCGCAGCTGGCGTGTCGCGGTAGAGTCGCTGGGCTTCAAGCGCTACAAATATGTCAAGTATTCTCACATGCATCTCATCGCCTTCCGAAAGGTGTCTCTGGCCACCACCAGTGACCTGGTGTCACACAACTACCCTGAGATGCTTTACATCCCTCAGGACTTTAATTCCAATGAGGAGGAAGATTGTGAAGACATCACAATGCAGGCGCGTTCCGAGTTTGAGGATGACCAGCTAGCTTGGGGCTTCACGGAGCTACCAGACACACCCTATGATTCCGATTCTGGGGAGAGCCAGAGCAGCTCCGTCCCCGGCTTTCATGAGTTAGAGGATCCCATCTTGCTCCAGAGCTAGGCTAAACCAGCAACCCTCCCACCCTTTTCTCCACCTAAAGCCCCTTTCAGACATGGAAAGCATAACATCGCTGGCTTCAAAAGTCTGTAAAAGCGATGGAATTATATTTAGTTAATATTCCTAATGCTTTAAATCAAATATACCCCTGACAGTGAGAGAGAAGGCTACAGTACAAGCATGAGGTTTGACACACAGTATTATCAGTGTCAGCTTTTAGAAGTGTAACCACGCTTTTGAAAGTTTAATGCATCCTCTGGTCAGCTGAGCAGCTCACAATGAAGCACGGGACACATGCAGACTTGTGCCGTGCCCGCGCTAATGTTTCAAGGCTTGACCTAGTAAGATTGGCATTGCCGAAGAGCGACCAGGATGCTGATTGAGATGTGAAGCCGACACATTTCGATGCTGCCAGGTTACCGTAAATGGAGAGCGTGTCTGAAAAGGGCTTAATTGTCGTCTCCCCTCCAACTGCTGCGCTGCCAAATTTAACCAGCTGCATTCTTACCCCACTTCTACTCCTTCTCAAAACAATGCAGTTTGCACAGTGTGAAAGAGAAAAGTTTACAGATTATTTTCTCATATCCACACTCCTTTCAGAGTGTGCACGCACGCACGCACACAAACACACACACACACACACACACACACACAAAAGATGGATATATTTTGATAAATAGTTAGGTTTTTTAAGAGTTGGAAATCGAATACCCGCAAGATCTCTGAACTCCCCGCTCCTCTTAATATCAAAAGTCAGCTTGTCTACATTCTGTACTCAGTCTCTGTTTGAAATAAGCTAGAGTCGCAGGCTGCTCTGTACAAAAAAGCCAAATACAGCAAACCTAAGCAGCGCGACGGGGGTTTGATTGCACTGGTGAGACAGAGATGGAATAAGTAGACGGGCGTGTTTGCTTCTGGCACATACAGCTCAACTTCCTGAAAACTTTTTTTTTTTTTTGATGTTCATTTTAGTTTTCCAAGACATAAAAAAATTGTTTGGAAATAGATATCCATAGTCAAACAGTCAAACATTGGTGTTGTAAATTGTGGCAATGCCTTGGTAACTTGGCATTCTATGAATGATTTTGTGTATCTTTTACCAAAAAAAACAACAAAAAAATGGTATTTGTAGCATTTGAAACATTTTCAGAACCATACAGTAGTATTAGTAGGTTTACTAATGTGAAACGTTAAGTGTTTACTTATTGTATTTAAAAAGGTACAAGTGCATAGTAGGTACAAGGTTTTTGTCTTGCTCTTCTCTTAAAGACTGACTTCATTCTGAATGATCTTTTTCCTGCTGTTGCATTTAATCTTTTTTTTTTTTTTTTTGTCTTAAGCAGCAGATTGGTACAACACTGCATGTCAGTGACTTTACACCAGTTTCCTTTGACACAGTTTTACAACTTTGATGTGAAAATACAGCACTCCACAAAAGCAGATGCAGAGTTCCTTAGAAAAATCACAGAGAGAAATTTACACTCACTTTTGTAAAAAAAGGTGAAATATTGTAAAATTTAGAAAGCGAGGTCTGATCTGAAAATGCTGTATGCTGCAGGGAGGTTTTAGCTAAGACACTACCAGGTGAAATGTTATTGTGTGTTCCTGCTGGTTCCTGAATAGACTAAATGTGTGGGTGTGGCTTAGACTGTGTGACTGAAGAAGTGAATTTCTAGTGTGTGGAATTTTTTTTTTTTGGTTGGTTTTTTGTTTTTGTCAGTGGCACTTTATCATTGATCCCAAAGGGTGTCACAAAATGTTGTTTCTTTTCACAATTTTACAACCAATGTGATAGGCCCACAAAACGATACCAATAATAACTATAAGGTGCCTTCTGTGTTTTTGTTTTGTCCATCATATTAGTGGATATGTGTTTATGTAATGCAGTGTGCTTTTGCCATTTCCATATCATTTTCTGGTTAATGCATATCTCTGCTGTTTTGTTTTTTTCTTCCTGATTTTTAACAGGAGAAAAAAAATTCACAGTACATATTCAGACTTTAAAGGAGCGTGTTTTGTGATTTTTGTCTTCCAGTGTTTCTTTTGGCCTATTTGCATGATATGGATCATCTTCATTATCAGCATTTTCAACAGTGCAGAACAATGTGTCCTTACAGTACCATTGTATTTCTCTTTTATAAATGAATGTAAATATAAGGTGGCGGTGTGTGTTCCTTCTTTTGTGCTAAGATTTTTATATTTAAAAAAAAAAAAAAAAAAAAAATCAGTTGTTTACAACTTAGAACGTCCACGGCTCTCTTTTACAACTTGGTCAGAAGTTCTTCATCTTCCTCTGATAGTACTATGCAGAAATAGTAGTTGTTGTTTTTTTTTTTGTTTTTTTTTTTAAAAAAACATTCAAACCCCATGGCTGCAGAGTTTTTAATTAATAATATTAAAAAAGGAGTGTTAGTATTTTTGTAAGGAAGGGATGTCATATTTATTTTACACTGTGGGCCCCGTACAGCCCACTTTGATGGGGCTAGACCGTCGAGTAGGCCAGAGCAGTGAAACTCCCCTTTCTGTCAGAGCAGACACATTTAACTAAACTTTTAATCCCTGAGATTATGATAATATAAGGAAAAAGTGCAATTTCATGATAGAATGTGTAAAATAACAAAAGGTTCTTGTAGCTTATTACCCAGATTTATAAAATCTAAAATTATCAGGTTTATAAAATTTAACAACTTTATAAAGTCTCGTTTTGTTAATTCAGATTTTTTTTCAGACCCACTTTAGAAAAACTAAAATTTCTTCAGTAGATGGTGAAGAAATTGGTGATGTGATGGAATTTTTGGTAATTTCATTATTTAACTATTACATGCACCACACAAAGATGAACTCCTTCAAAGCCATCCAGTTATTGTCTTTGCCAGGCTGGTTCTGACCCTCGCACCGTATGTTTGACACCCCTGTAAAGTGATGGGAGACCTCTAATCTCTAAAGGGTTATCTAAACACATATATGCGGTCAAAAGAGTGGCTGGTAGGGTCTCACATTGAGCCCACACAGAAATCAGAACAACTTAAGTGTGCTTTAAACAATGCTCATCCAAAGTCTCTAAAGTTGTAGTGGAGAGAAGCAGAAATGCAATTGTTCATCTGGTGTTTTAATAATAGTAGCAGAGTGCACTGACTGGGACGTTGGTCCAAAGTCTTCCATAAGCGTTCAACTAGGGTTAAAATTTTGGGAATATGAAGCTATGCAGATCACATAATTTTCATGCTCGTCAAACCATTTAGCGACCCCTCGTGCCCTGAGGATAGAAGTAAAATCATGGAAGAGACCGCTTCCATGTCCACAGGAAAAAGGCGATTACTAAAAAAAAAAAAGTTAATTAAATTGTAAATATCTACAAGGGAAAATGTAGGCCTAAACCATGTCGGGGGAAAAACGGCAACAAACTGGATTTTCTAAATGCAGGGGTCAAATAATCGGATCTTCCTTGAATGTGTCATTTGTTAGTTCCTGCCAGCACGGAGAAAGTTTACTTTACTGTTTTTGTCTTTGTTTTGTTTTGGCGGCGGGGGGTCTTATCTTAGTTTAACTGAGCGAACTCATTAAATAAATAAATAAATAAAAGAAAAAAACTGCATCAACAATACGGTTTGGACGTTTGAACTTTTCAACACCAGTTCTGACCCTTTATGCTTACCGTAGTCTTAGCACAATCATGGCGACTGTCATCTGACTGAAAAGTTTTGATGTGAAACTTTTTGAACTGATGTCTTTCACAGTCCCGCTGGCTGGCGTCAGAATAACCCAACTGCGATCGTTTATAATCGTGCCAAACGTCAGATGGAAGAATACAAACAAGTGACATCCAAGATGTGAGCGTTTTGACCGCTGACACTAACCGTCCTGAAGATGTGCCGCTGAGGAGCTAACGCCAGCTAAGTTAGCTACTTTCAACAAGTTAGCCCGCTGGCTAAACCGAGTTTGAATGTCGCGGGATTTCAGATGTCACAGCGGACAGCAGACCGGGTAATATCTGACTTAAATGCCATTTTTTAGTTTCAGGTCGTTGGTATTTAATTTAAAAGGAAAATGTGTCGTTTTCTACGTTACTGTGTCAGTCACTGCCTTCACGCAGCGATGACCCGGCTGGAGGAAGTCAACGGAGAGATGAGCATGTGGTCATCAGTCCGGTGGCTAGGCTACTTGTCCGGGCTTAACCTGCTCGTGGCCCTGTGCATAGGTCTCTATGTCCGGTGGGAAACAAGCGCGGAGTCCGCTCTTCTTGTCATTTTTGTTTTGGCCCTGGTTGTCCTTGGAATAGCCATTGGCCTCTACTACTTCAGTATGGAGAGGATGAGCCTCAGCATCCTCCACCTGTGGTTCGGTTTTTTGCTGGGTCTCCTGTGTTTCCTCAACTCCCCCGCCCTGGACGTCGACGTCAGGGAGCAGGTTACCAACTACCTGCTGCTGGCCAGCGTGGCTCTGAGGACACTGTGGGCACTGCTGGAGAGACTGGTTGGATGTGCTAGGTATCGCCCTGCCTTCTTGACCTCCGCGGAGCGCCTGGAGCTAGCTGGCTTTGCGATCGCCAGCACCGCGCTGCTCATTCAGAAGTCCCTGAGCGTGATGGTGCTCGTGGTCGCTCTGGGCACGGTCATGGTTGCGCTGCGGATGAAGGCGCTCCTGGCGCTGGCCAACCTGGCCTGCTTCGCTGTCATCACTGCCGTGCTGTTCTTTAAGTCTCTGAACATTACCACCAACCCGTTCGCCCTCTCCTGCTTCTTCAGCCAGCTCATCTGCGACCCTCTGCTCGATGTCTACTTCAGCGGCCTCTCTGTGACCGAGCGCTGGCAACCGTTTCTGGTGTGGAGGGGGCTGTGGCGCCGGGTCTCCCTCCTGCCCCTGCTGGCGGTGGAGGTGAGCTTCATCGTCCTTTCTGCTGGGAGACTTTTAGACCAGGAACAGTGGTACCGCACGATCCCAGCCTTCGTGGTGTGTGCGCTCTTCTGGGGTATTTGCCACATGGTGTTTGTCATCACTGTGTGGGGTTTTCACTCTAAGCTCAGCGAATGCCAGAGGCTGTGCTGGTCGGAGGTCAGCGGCCTGGACAAGGTGATGGCCTCCAAAGGCATGCGACATTTCTGCCTCATCTCTGAACGCCTGGTGTTCTTTACTCTGGTGTCCACGGTAGCTGTGGGTGCTCTGTGCTGGCAGGTAGGTCTGTCTCAAAAATGCTTTACTGCTGCAGCACACGGGTTATTCTGTTTCCTGTTTCATTTTTTCCTTTACGTGACTCTTGTAAATTTGCTCAGCAGGCCAAAAACAGTTTGTTTGTGAGCACTTTCCTGCTCATTCTGCCCCTGGAGTCTCTGTTCCATGGACTCTTCCATGAGCTCGGGAACACCCTGGGAGGAACATGCGTGGGCTATGCAGTGGTCATTCCCACCAACTACTGCAGGTAGAGGACCAGCGTTGTATCTGAGAATTAGAAACCTCTCCAATTTAGACCACATTCAGATTCATGTTTGGATTTACATCATTGATATTCTGTGCGCACAAATGAAATGGAATTCTGAAAGTGGCATAATTCTCCTTCCTGTTACAGTCCTGACGGTCAGCCGATGCTGCTGCCTCCAGGCCAGGTGCACGAGTTGAACAGGCGCTCTACGGGTATGTTGAACAACGTGCAGCGCTTCTTTGCCCACCACCTGATTGAGACGTTTGGCTGTGACTATTCCACCAGCGGGGTAACCCTGGAGGCTCTGCAGTCCAAGATGAAATCCTTTCTGGACCTCCGCACCCCAGACGGCCCACGCCACGACACCTACGTAATCTTCTACAGTGGCCATACGCATCGCACTGGCGAGTGGGCGCTGGCAGGTGAGAGAGGCTTTAAGTTGAAGCAGTCATGATTGGGACTCGCTTTTTTCTAAACCTGCGTATGTATTTGAAGGGGAAAAAAAAGTTTGGCACTTTCCAAAAAGGAAACCTGGGTTGTTGTAAAAACATATATTTTTAACCAAGTATTGAATTGAAGTTTAATTTATTTGAGTATAAAATGCTGTTTTGTTTATTAAATAGCCAGAAATATTAGGAAAATGGATATTAATGCATACATCATCCTAAATCATCCACCCAGAGGCCAATTTTGAACTAGCAAAAACCCTGGCAGTAGGATAATGCAAAAAAAAAGAAATAAAAGAAATAGAGACCTCTCCCAGGCCTCTGGCAGAGGACCCGAGCTTGAAGGATTAACCGCCCCATTTTTTTTATATATATTTATATATATATCTATATATATTTATATCTATCTATATATCTCTATCTCTATATCTATATCTCTATATATTTATCTATATCTCTATATATTTATCTATATCTCTATATATTTATCTATATCTATAGATATAGATAAATATATAGAGATATAGATAGATATAGATATATATATTTAAATAAATAAAATCAGCTGTTTCATGCGCACATCTTTAGGTGGAGACACTCTACATCTGGATCACATCTTGGAGTGGTGGAGGGAAAAGAACACCAACTTCTGTTCTCGCCTTGTTGTGGTGCTCGACTGTGACAACTCTCTGCCATGGGTGAAGGCGGTTACGAAGGTGGAAAATCTGTATGTTGCCATCCAGGGAGCGACGCTCTTCAGAGCGGCGGACGTCGAGCTGCATGACCTGCCGCAGCTCGGAGACTTCACCTCCGAGTGGGTGGAGTACAACTGCAACTCAAACAGCAACATCCAGTGGTCAGAGAGGGGCAGGGCGGTTTCTGCTGCTTACGGCATCTCCAAACACTGGGGCGACTACACGCTGCACCTACCAACAGGAAGCGACGTCACCAATCACTGGAGCATGTACTTCCCCCGGGTTACCTATCCCGTGGTCCAGCTGGCCCTGTGGTGCGGCAACCTGAACCTGCTGTGGACCTGCAGCGCCTGCCTGCGATGTCTCAAGAGACTCAAGCTCAACTGGTTTCCACCAGCAATACTGGACACGGGGCAGGGCTTCAAACTGGTCAGATCATAGAAATATGTGTGAACCTGTTTTTATTTGAAGAATATATTTCTAAAATATATTTTCTAAAGTTTTTGTTTGTTGTTGTTAGGTTTGGGGGTTTGTTTTTTTTTTTAAATTCTTTTTGTATCCCAAAGACGGGCAGCTGTTGGATTATAAGATTGTTAACCAGAATCCTTTCAAGTTACTTTAAAATAAGCCAGTTACTGATTGGGATGTTGATAAAGTTATTATTTAAAGTGTCTGAAAAGCAGTTCTGTTAATGTGTGACTGGATTCGAAGGTCTTATTCTTTCTTCTCCAGACATTAGACAAATACACAATGCAAGGTGAGACTGAACATGGACCCTATTTTGCACATTTTAGCACCGTATTGACTGTTGGATCTGAGCCACCTCAGTTTTCTGCACATTCACACAGGTGCCTTTTAGCTTCACCAAAACTCAGACTTGCTAGGCTGATTGTTTTTAACCTTAAACCAAAGAGTCGACGGTACGTTTTCAGAGGAGGATCTCAGGCATAAAAGCTGTTCTCTGCACTCTTCAGCTGCAGGTTTTGCTATTATTATTCTGTTATGATGAAATGATTCCTCGTACATTTTTCTGCACTCCTACAAATATTTTGTCACTCGTTGCTTACTGTATGCTTGAATGCACTGCTTTGTCTGTTCTAAACAATATTTTAGAATGCCTTTTACCAGGTGATCCACTCCTGCTGCTTCAGGGAGTCCTCGAAGACTTAATTGTACCAATGCACTACAAGCCAGGTACCGGAAGACCTGCAGTCTCTCTTGTAATGGACCACAGGAATTTGTTTTCTTCCTGGGGGTTTATTACAGTTCACTGAACTATGCAACTGTATGCCAATAGGCTGTGTGTGTGTGTAGAAAGGGATTCATGGGAAGAAAACCTGTTGGAGCTATGCAATAAAAAGTCAAATATCACTCTAATGTATGAACTTGCTTATCTCCTTATATTATTTTTTAAAAAGGGGTATCATTTCATCCATCTCCTTAGTCTTGTCCAGTTCAAAGTTGCAGAGGTGCTGTTACTCATCAGTGCCATTGAGTCCGCTTGGATTCTGCTTATTTATCAGTTCTGATTACTGAGGTACCACTGTTGTTCTTTCCCAAAAGGAACAGATAGTCGTCAGGATATTTTATTCTGGTGGATTGGATAGTTTGGAACTGACAAATGTTGAAGACTTCTTTTTTGCATGCCCACTATCTTGTGATAATTTGGCAGCAGCGCAATGGTGATACTATTTGCAATGTTTATCTTGTGTAAAATCCATAATCACAAGTAACTTTATAGAAAACTGAGGAATCTGGAAAGCTGGCAACATTTCAAATTTCAGAAGAGAAAAAGTGTGCATGCCACAGATGTGTGACAAAGCATTTTAGTAGTTGCTTCCCAAGTTTTGTGGTAGTTTCCCCCTTGTAGACGCACATGTCCAGCCCGTCTAACGAGTACATCAAGAGCAAAACAGAAAGATTTGATGGAATTTGTTTCCATGGTGACACTGTATACAAACTTACCAAGCAAACTTTCTGCCCTTACAACAAAAAAAACAACAAACTCTGGAATAGATATTACAAAGGACACAATACTTACCTATAGTATTACTGATGGGTGGTCACTAACTGCATTGAAGCACCAACAGTTAATTCAAGTTGAGGCAGTTATAACATCTGTCACCTGATTTATTCAGGAAAAAAAGACTGTGCAAAGTTCAGTTTTTATTATTTTATTGAAAACATTATAAAAGTATGTGTTGCAGCAGCAGCATATTCACTTTTTATGATCAACATCTTCACATTTACACAATCCAAGTTGAAAATGGCATTTACAGCAAGCAGTCAATGATCAATCTCCAGGAGACATGACTGCACAGGGCAGAGATAACGAGGCATCTACTGCCCCCATGAGGCTGCAAGTGAAACTAAACTGAACCGCAAACACTAAAGTTCCTGTTTTTGTTGTTTTGTTTTTTTATCCCACTTTGATCCACACTGCTTCTACATGTTCAAGTTATTTTTTTATAATTCACTTGTTTCTAATGCAGAGCTGATGTGCAAATTCATAACTTGGGTTTAAGTTTTCATTTCAAACAAAAAACAGTTTTGACCAATTCGAGGCACGAACACAGGTACACAGTGGATACCCAGCCCGTGTCTGAAAGTATCTGATAGAGAAAAGGAAAGAAAAGAAAAAACCCTCAAGCAGCCGAATTAGCACAGCACAGGTTAAATAAGCACAAAATCTGAAATATCAGCTAAACATTAGTTTGAAATTCACACAGAAATCGCTGCAGTCAGAGCAAGAGCCACAACACTCAAACCACTGACAGATGAAGTGATTAACATCGGTCACGTTACAAGGCAATTGTCTGCTGGGAAACCCTTGAGTCCATCAATAAGTAACTCCATCATGTACTTCCCAACTAAACATTTCCCCCATAAACAGGGGCCTCCCTCAGAAGGTCAAACTGGAGGACCCACAAGACCCAAAGAAGACCTTATTAGCATCCCAGTGGTTTAAATGTTGCGGCAGGAGGTGCAGCCTTGCAGAATCAATGTTCAGTTTAGTGTTTGTGACCCTCTAATCTGAACATCTGAATCTGCTGGATTACATTCACGAGAAAACGACTGCAGCCTCACTAAAACAGACCAGAATTTGGATCTCATTTCACAGATATCATTTATGTAGCACAGAGTCACCGGGACACTGTGAGGAACACAGATTTAACTGAACCCCAATAGTCACAGGACACGCACGCAATGTTTTGGTAACAGTGAGAGTTTGGAGTGAAACTGGAACATGCTGATATTTCCAGCTTTTTCAGTTTGACCACCTAAATAATTTTAATGTAAAGCTTATTTTTATTTTGAAACACTTTCATGTTTCACTAGAGCAGCAATTAACACTTGTGTTCATCATCAGATTAATCTGCTGATCATTTTAAGAAAATGTGTAAGCAAGTAGTGATGGGATGTTTTCAGGATGAATTCATTATCAGCTGACTAATCGTGGCAGCTCTACATTTAGCAGCTGTCACCGACACAGATCAAAAGCAACTAAGACAATTCCTCATAATTAGGACTTTTTAGCTGTAATCGTGGCTGTACAGGTGAATTTGGTTTTAGCCGCCTGACCTCCAGGTGACCTTTTGTAACACTATAACTAGACGCAGACACTGACGATGCTGAAACTCAGAAAGAATCAAAACGAGCAGTTTGAGGTGCATGGTACCTCATGGTGGATGGTACTTATGGCTTTAGCAAGAACCAGATCTTAAGCTTTGGCTGATTGCATGTGCAATATGGTGACCCTCGCAAAGCTGAGAAGAAAAAAAAAAAAAAGAAATCATAAAAACCCCCAAAATGTAAAACTGGAAGAATGTTTGGCATAAAAGGAATCGAATATTAAATTCTAAAGTGACAAATGGTAAAAAGTGTAGAGGAACAGCCACATCTCTGCCATTTATCCTTTTTTGTTGCGGGAACAAACACGTCACAGTCTGAGGAAAACTGAGCACAGCTTCCCATCAATGTGACTGTTGTGGATGTTAGTGCTGCAGGTTTCTCTGAACCTCATTTCACAAAAAAGGAATCTAGTGTTTAGCATCGAGTTACCCTAAAGAAATAACAGTGATAAGAAAACGGCTACAAAAAAAACAAAAAAAAACAAAAAAAAAAACATTTAAACTATATCCCAGACACCAAGTATATTATTTTCACCAGTTAAATAACTAGAATATAGTACATCTTGATTTTATTCTTGTTGTTCTTGTCAAGAACAAAGTTTGAGAGGAAAGAAAGGCTTTGACCAGTTTTCCTCTCTTGTGTGTGACTAAAGGAGGATCCTGAGCAAGAACCCTCAAGGCTCAGTGCTTCTAGGAATGAACGCTGAACTGTAAATGAAAAAAAAAAAAGAAGCTTCAATTGTCTTCCACATGTAAACAATACATCATGTACCTGGGACTAAACCTAGTGTAAGCTGTCAGAATGAATCAGGAATCAGCTGGTAAAGTAAGTGTCACTTAAACTAAACTGAACAGCCATGTGTTGTTATCATTACTTGCGCCCAGTTTGATACTGAAGATTGCATAGTAGTGGATAGTAGAACAGAATCCAGATCAGTCATTACACCTTCAGAAACTCCTCTAAATGCTCTCCTTTTTCTCACCTGCACTGATATGACTGCACAACACAGGGTTAAGCATATTTACAGTGGCAGATGTTCCTTCTCCATTCTTCTTCTCTCGCTTTTTTGTTTTTAAAGACAAAGTGCAGTTGAGAAAATGGAAAAATTATTGGTCACATCTACTTTCCAATTCTGTACTGATTCACCTCATCACCAAACATTCAAAAATATATATATATTACTAATGCAAAACTATCTTGTCTGTTAATCCACCAAATGTTCTTTGAAACAGAATGAGGTAAATACCAGAAGTAGGACAATAACTACACATACACCGAATGAAAATTGCCCCCTTCACCCCCTTGCCTGTGTTATATAACTACTTGGTTCATGTAGGCACAAGAACAGTATGTGTCCATCCTCTAAGTGTCTTCTTGTGTTACATTTCTCCTCAACTCCTCTCACTGTCCCCCTTCATTCGCTGCAGACAGCGTGACTGACTGGCTTCCTCTCAGGACTTCCGCTGCCTCAGCGTCTCAGAGCTGCCGTTCAGTTTGCTGCGACCGGAGGGGGTGGCTGTGCTGCCGTTGCCCAGCGGGCGGTCCCAGTCAGCGGGGGCTTCCTGTTTACGCCGGCGCGTCTCTTTGTAGCGGAGTGTGATGTCACTGTGAGAAGACAGAAGGAAAGAGCACACACATTATTTATAGTGCGTCATCCCTGAGGGTCATGTCTTCCCAGATGGTTTCTGGTCCACTAACTTTTCTCACAGAATGTTTATTTGTTATAATTCCTACGCCAACACTATACACTGGATTATATTAAAAGAAAAACAAACAAACGAAACAGCTGATTACTTTAACAAACATCACAAACAGAAGATAAAGCTCTGCTCTCAAAGTCTCACGTGAGCTGCATTTCTTACTTTTTGAGAATAAGAAAAATTCCTAGTTTCTCTTTGTTAAATAAATCCATCACTACAGGAATCGATTAGTCAGTCTGTATGAAATCCCTGCTTTTAGGAAGGTCGGGGGGGAAAAACTGAATAAAACAGAGAAGACCACCGACAGAGAAAACCAAATCAAACGACCCCTTTTAAGCAAGCACTTGGTGACAGTGGGAAGGAACTGGAAGGTAGATCCAGGCTCAGGGATGGGCAGACATCTGCCACCACTGGTTGAGGGTGAGGGCAGGGACCTTTTGTGTATTTGACAACAAATGTCATTTGTGTGTCCCAAAATAAGCTGGATGCCATTCTAACAATAATAATATACTTTTTTCATTATATACGCTACTACTTGGCCACATTATACAGTGAAATAACATTTTGTTTCACTGCTATGCTGATAACCCACTGCTCCATTTCCCAGTAAGGTTCAACAAGTTTCATCAACCTTACAAACTATTTAACCAACATCAAGAAACAGATATGTGCATTTAAAAACAATAACAATTATTATTGTTATTACTATTATTACTATTATTATTATTATTATTAAAAAATTTAACTCCAATAAAACAAAAATTCTTAGATCTGGGTTGGACAGCCTGCATCCAAGTACCAACTTTACCAGTTTACCGAGTTGCCAGAAATCTGGGTGTGTTGTTTGATTTTAATCTCATTTTTCAGGAATAGTGCGAGGATATGATCAACACTGAGTTTTCAGTGATGTTCATTTTCAGTTTTACCTTCTCTCTGGTTAATGCAATAGTTTCTTAACAGGTAACAATCAGAAATCAATACACAGACTTCTGCTTGTGCTCAGATTGTGCAGCAACAAGACTTCCTACAAGAACCAGGAAAAGTGAACATATTACTTCAACCCTAATGACTACGCTGGCTGTCCATGACTTTTAGAATTGATTTTAAGATTTACTTATTTCTTTTAAAGCATTTCATCGCCTGACCCCAGAATATGTACTTCAACTGCTGCATAACAACCGGGTCACGGTCTGAGATCCCCTGGCAGGAACCCGTTAACTGTGTCCATCTCATGCTTACAGATGAAAGGCGATCGCTTCGGCTCTTTATCTTAGTTTTCTTTTGATACTGAACTTATTTTAAATGATATATAAATACATTTTAACATTTCTTTTCGTGTAAGTTTATTCTGTTTCTGGGAAGCACTTCACAAAAACATACAAAAAGTACTTATCATTGATACTATGTTTATTGTTAACATTAATATTATTTTGAATGCTCCTCATGAGGACCTCTGTAACACTTAATGGAAGAGCACCAAGCAGTTACACACCTCAAAATAAAACATGCACTCAGCACTTGCCTCGGTCCACTCATACTAAATGAAGCATATTAGGTAACAGACTGGGAGTGTGCAATAGGGTCAAACAGTGCTTGCAAATTCTTAAGGTTATCGGTTAAAAAAAAAAAAAAAAAAAAAAAAAAAAAAAAAAAAATGCACTTTGATCAGAATAACTGGATAATGGCACACTTTTGTCTTTAGTAGACCAGAAGAAGTGGTTGAGCTGATCTCATTGCTCTTGTCACGTGATGGTTAGTGTGTGGGTGTGTCTGTGTGTGTCTGTGTGCGTGTGTGTGGGGGGTATCAGTTCCTCTGGGTTTCACTGCCCTGACTCACTTAAACAGTGTCAGCACAAACTGAATGCCCTCTAGCGTCACTAAACTGACTGGAACAGAGTAAAAATGATGTGAAGGGAAATGAAGATGATAAAATTCACCACAGACGTTCTCTACAGGATCCCATAGATCCTCTAATAATGATTATAGATCCAAATGGTGATGTGGTAGAAGAGTGGAAACAAACAAACAAAGAAAATAAAAACCCTACACTTTTCCTATACCTAGGACATTACTGCATTATTGCTGAGCAAGAGCAGGAAGTAGTAAGGAAGGCCAGACAGCTTGCTGGGCCAGATGGCCTCTTGGTGAGGAGAACAGACAACAAGCCTAACATGCCAGGGCAGGCTGCACCTAACAACACAGTAAAGATAAGGCAGCTCAAAAAAATTTAATTACATTTCAAAAAAGAAAAGAAAAAGAACACACTCCATGAGCTCATGAGGAATAACTAAATCAAATACAGGAGCACACTGGATGGAGTCTCACATGTGTGAAGACATCTTTCTTAAACTGTAATTAAACTGTATTTCCTCATCAGTCACCATGAACAGTGCATTTAAAGCAAAAGTGAAGTGCAAAACAGCAGCATGGAAGCAGATTGTCATCTTTTCCTGCATGAGTGTATAAAGTTCATTTGGAAAACAGCTGCTTTTTGCCAATTCCCAACTTCCCTTTCTATAATTAGCATGTAAGATGTCTCTACAGATCCATAACTGGACTCTACATGAAACAGACCAGTGGAAAACCCACAGAAAGCTGACACACACAAAAACAATAACTTAAAAGAGAAGAGCGACCCAAAGGCAGACTGGACCTGTCTCAAATAGACTGCACGATGTCCAGTGAACCAAAATAGAAAAACAGAGCGATACTTTGGACTTTGGTCCCAATGTAGTTATTGTGTTTACTAGACACAAGCTAGAAATGGTTAAGAAGCTGAAATCTTTCCTCCTTACAGCCTAGCTGTTTTTACACGAAGAGCACAGACTTTCATTACCTTTCAACAAACATTGTTTGTCACCCTCAGCTTCCCCCCCCCCAAAAAAAAACAACAAAACAAACAACAACCACAACAACAATTAAATAAATAAAATAAGCCATCCCACTACTTACCGGATGAAAAACCGCCACACGGTCCAGATAAGTATGAGGAGGATTCCTAAAAACCAGCACTGAATGATAAGAGAAGGAATGGGCAGCATGATGGTGTGGGGGTCATACTTGACCACTATTAGGAACTCCGTTACTGTGATTGCTGATACCAGCCACGCCTGCTGGCCGAGCTTCTTGTGGAACTTCCTGTTAGGAAAATGAAACAATGTTATTATGGAAAAATTATTCAATAGGGAGGATACATTTACTTTTTTAGGTTTATTTTTAATATTTACTGGTTACATGTATGCCTGTGATGTAACACCGTAACGCACAGCACTCTATCACTACCCATGCATGTGAATAGTCAACAGTTAAATGATACTTCCATTTCTAGTCTACCAGAAATACTACAGTCTGAGTAATTATACGAATTTTGTTAGTGGACAACACTGGTTAAACAGAACTAGTACAGTACTGCAGTACTTAGCTATAGCAAATGAATGTATGTATGTAGGCTGTTCTACAATGAACTGGAATGCAATCAGAGTAATTCCCAACAACATTCTGCACAGCAGCTGTGACGACGTTAACCTGCAAGTAAAGAAGTCCACTAATGCTAGTCATACTTGGCAAACTAATCTGACACTGTGCGTGAGCGCCACACATTTCCCTTCATTTGGTATTTAAACAGTTAAAAATGGCTTTTATATACATATGGAATACATGGACATATTTAATCGAGTTTATTTTTAATGAGACTATAATCCCTCAGGTTTAATCAGTTAATCACTAGAAATATCTTCCAACACTAACCCAACACTGGAAAAATAGCAGAAAACGAAACATTTCTGTCTGTTTCTGTTACTAGTAACCATATTCTTATCAATGCACATGTTTGCTCATGGCTGGTATGTATGAATGGTGTTCTTACTAAATATTTTTGCTGTGTATAGTATACAGAAGACTCACACATTTCTTCACTGCTGTGCTTATCTAGTTTTCTGATTTCAATTTGCACTACGATAACCAGTTTAAAACTCAAGAGCAAACACTTGACTAAACTGAATCAGTGCTGAATGTCAACAAGTTCTTTATTCGGTGTGTATAAAACACATACAGTCTTTTATTATACACCCGGTCAAACCGTCCAACTCCCAAAAGAAAAGCTGCACATTGCTACTCACGGGTCATCCATGAAGTCGTAGATCTCCCTCATGGCTACGCCCCCCACGTTGACAAAAAAGACAAGACGAAGCAGCACCAAGTAGTGTTCAGGTGGCATCCACAACACAAATTTCAGGTAGAAGGTGTTCAGCTCTGCCAACAGAAACTGGCGAGATAGGAGATAAAATATCTAATTTAGAAGCACCAAGAACACAAAAACAACACAGAAAAGAAAAAGTTACAACAATCAGTCCATGTTGGGCACGTCTTTCTTTTCCATTAGCTAACAAGAACTAGTCTTTTACATTTCGTGAACTAATTCAGGTGTCAGACAGGGAACCAAAAACAGAAATAGGGCCCAACATAACTACGCCCATATTTGATGAATTACAAATCTGATATTTTTTCCTCTCTCCTCGATTCATGAAACACATTTCCTATGCGTCTGTTATGTGCAGTTATTAGAGTCCTTTCTAAGACGAAAGGATAGTGCTGTTTAAGCTTAATGTTGATCGATTGTCACAAGTTGTGGATTTGATGTTTATGCTCCACCCGCCTCTGCTCACATCAGGTGGTTGTCATGTTTTCAGCGTTACAATGTGTTGCTAACAGGGAAGTAGCAGAGTGGCATCTGGCGGACAAACTAAGCAACGCCAACATTTAAACCATGGTTGAAGGGTGTTTCTATGATCTCTTCTTTTACTCTTTCCAGTTTATCAATAGTCACAAATCCAGATAGAGATATATCAGCAATATATTAATCAATATAGTGGTTAGGCCAGTCCATGAACATGTATTATCTATATATCAGAGTCTAAATACATTACGCTTTCTGTGCATTGTTATTGCATGGTGATGTCATCATTTTTTGCAGTGAGACAAATGCTTTCCCTTCATGTTAGCATTTCTTACCATAAAGATGATGCCTAACACAGCAAGCCAGCGGCGAAGGTTTGAAGCAGGCTTCCACTCAAACTTGACCCAGCTGTAAGGTGTGAACTGGAATGCTATACGCTTTATCTTCCCCCTGCCAAGTACAGACAGAGATATCATTAAATATAAACAAATACAGAAGCCCAACATAAAATGTTTGCAAAGAAATGTCTTTCATAAAGTCATACTTGTATGTAGGAATGTTCCAGAGGCCCTGCCACTGATACGGTTTCATTGACAACCAGGCCAGGGTCTTCATGCCACAGTAGATCCCCAAACCATTGCACACCAACACATCCATGATCCACTAGATGGAGAAACAATTAAAAAAAAAGGGTAAGTGAGGTGCAGTAATCCTCCAAACCAACTATCACACACCTCTCCTCCACCTTGAATATAATTTACATTTACTATAACTAAAGTTTTTTTGTGTGTAACAAGTAGCAACAGCAACCGCAGTATTTATCTTTACAGTCGTGATTATAATTACATAATACCTATACCGTCTGTTTATATTTGGAGTCTTTCCTGTTGCTTTCCAGCAGTGCTCACTTGGCTTTACCAGCTACCCCTTCTGTTAATTAGACCACTTTGTTAGTTGCTGGTATGAAGTTCTTATCATGCAAACAAATGAGCACTTTGTTGCCATTACAAATATCACTAGCAAAATAATCACTCGCATGCTTCCACTTTCTGTGCTTTTACTTATCAATGTGCTGACGAGCAAGAGATCTGTGAACCTCCCAACTTAACACATGATGAATATAATGTGTTCTGCAAAATGTCCGTAAAACCCTTTAATTTTACTTTTAAATTTACAATGCAATCCTTGTTTTGAACATTTTATCTATTCACACTTTGGTTCAAAGAAACTTCTTGTCTAATATGGACACATTTAAAAAGTATGTCCACATTAGGCAGGATTATATCTGCAGTAAACACTGTTACACTTTAAAGAGAAGACATCTTGATCTTACCATTTGTGCCTTATTACAAAAGACTCACTCAGAAAACTAGACAAAAAACAACCAAAATAACCTCAACGTGTGTCACACAGTATTTTGTAATTAGAAGAAAACAGCACAAATGTACGTACATGGTCCCACCAGCACTCTGAGAAATTAGGCAACTGGTGCTCCAGGCTATACTCCAAGAACTCAAACATGACACTGATTATCATACACATCCACCAATCCCGGATCATTAGAGTCTGGAGGGAAATAGAGTGTGAGAAGGTCAGCAAGATAACAGACAAACAATAAAAAAGGTGCAACTTTATTTGTCAATAAATGATCACACTAGAATGGGAATGACCTCACTTGGCACTTATTGACTAGGTGCTCTGTAATCATTGCAAAGTCAAACCATTTAAATCTGTGATGTGTACATAACAGCGAGGACAGCACGCTCAACTGCTTTTATGAAACATGTCAGACAGCTAATTCCAAACCTACCTTGATATACCATCCGAGAAAGTGAGCTGGCACGAAGCCATCCATCTTGTCCTGCAGAGACAAATGATGTTTAACAGCAAGCCCAACTACAATTTTGCCCCTAAATCTTACACGTGAAAAGCCCTTTCATTAAACTGTTGATCGTGTTTAATGATCGTGTTATTGCATTTCTAAAGTTGGGTGCCAACAAATACCCTCTCAGCCTTTTACGACTGAGGGGTAAAAATAACTTTTTTGTTTTTAGGGTCAACTGGAAAGAAAAACAGATGTGAAAATGAGAAAGTGAGATCAGAAATCAAATGTGACATAATCAGATGCAAACTATAAAGTGACATTTAGAATATGCAAATATATCATTCCCAGTAAGCCTATATGTTGTCAATACAAACAATTATTAATCACTCCAAGCCTGTATATTGACTGCTCTCCATTTATCTAAACATAAATACAATGCACTGTAAGAAACTGCACACAACTGCTCCTTCAGTGTTTTATATCCCAGCAGCCACATGTAGGCACCAGAACCCTGATCTTGATAACCATGCAGCCACTGATTTGTGAAATTCCACATCTGAGTGCAGTGCCAACCATCCACCATATTTACTGCAAAGTAGCCCATTTAACAGGGAGATGTGTTGCATTACACTGGTAGCGGATTATGATAAGCATCCTATGGTTTCTAACTTTCCATTAAAACACAGATCTGTGACTGTCTGTGCATTTCTTAACATTTTCAAACTGCATTTCAGTTCATTGAGCACTGTTTTAAGTTTCACTGCTCCACTGATATAACCCAAAACAGCAAGCGAGCTTGGAGACACACACAGCCTGTGCTCTAAAAAGTCCTGCTGCTTTCTATTTGTGCTCGGACAGTTAAAATAAGACCATCTGTGTTCAAATAAAGCATCGCATCTAGTTCACACTGGAAACAGGAAGAAATGAGCACAGAGAGTACTGGGTCACTGAACAGGACAAAGCCTCTTTGGGCATCACAAAGCACAAATAAAATGCAATTAAACACACAGTTCTACCCTTACTATTTGGATCATATTATTTCTGCTTAGTAACCCAAAACATTTTTATGTATTAAAAATTCCTACAACCAAAGTAAAGTTTATTGATAAATATGTGGCTTTAATTTGACATTTTAAAAAGTCTATTCACAGAAATGGGGTTTTAGAGGCCAAAATCAGACTATTAGTGGAGGTGGGCTCTGGGTCATGGCAGCAGACAGAGGAAGGCCTGGTTCTATTGATGGACTGTAATCTGCCCCAGACTCAAGCTGCTGCACACCTCCACAGTAACTGTATTCTTGTGTGTGTTTGAGAATGAAAGAGAGATAAAGCACAAGAAAAAGAGATAAGAGAAGTTTTACAAAAGGCCATACACAGATTCATCTAAACTGCCATATTTCTTTTCTGTATCTGAGCCACTTCCTTATAGCAATAATTGAGGACAATATGCACAAAATTATAAATGCATGATTGGACAAGAAATTTTACTTTTAGGAAGGCGGCCTGTTTCTTACTCAGTTGTTTTTTAACGGCATAATACTATCAAAAATCCAAGTCTTACAAACATTCCTACCTGCAAAGATACACAGGAGAGAAAAGTAACATAAAAAGCAAAAAAATTCATTCTCTCACCCAGATGTTGTGGAAAGGGTCTGTAGTGTTTCCAGGGTCATAAATGAGGCAGTTTCCCCCATAATCACGCTCAGGGAGAGGAACCCCCAATTTGGGGTCAATGTACTTCATGAACTGTCGTCCATCGTGCACCGTCTGGATAAAGGAGGATAAGAATAAGAGCAAGTACCACCAGAACTTACATTTCTACACAGGCTACATCAGATGGTGTCCTCCTTCAGTTAACAGCAGATTTCTGTGGCATAAAAGTAAAATTTTATTGCTTTTTACCTAGCAACAACTTAAAATTATCCTTTTACAAACAGGAAGTAGATGATTAAATATAACCCCCCCCCCCCTTTATTCTTCTTCTTTTACAGTGTCCAGGGCTGTCTGAAGGGCCTGGCTCAGTGACAATTTAATTAAATTGGGAGAGGGAAAAGAGACTTCCAGGGATCACAGCAGAAAAAGCACCAGAGACTGGAACAGACATATCATAGTGGGAGGGGAGGAAAAAAAAAAAAAAAGCCCGATATTTTGCCCAGGCTCGACTACACTTTTAAGTACTTATGGACTCCATCTGGCCTTCTTTTTGGAGACCACGATTGTAATTAAATGTCAAAGCAAACGTCCAGAAAACCCATGTCATAAAAATCACTGAGTAGAAAACTCAAAAAGAGAAGTTTGATGTGGGAGGGAAAATTGTCATGTGATTGTGTACACAGTTCCCATGAGTTAAGAATTTGCATTGCACGTGTTGATCTGACGTGTTTTAGCCTTTCCAGGCAGCAAAATTCTCACCACACCAACCTGAAACAGGATGAAGATGAGGAACAGTTCATAGACGACAGTGACGCAGAGCCAGAAACGCCAGTAAGCTAGAGCGAGAGAGAGAAATCAGTTACACTGAATACAAACTAAATTAGTACTATGTTTTTTAAACACAATGAAAAAACAAAGAATAAAAACGTTACATGACAATTTCCTATTTGTGCTGAACATTCCACGTTCCAAATCTAAGTACTTCTATTCCCTGCAGCTATGAACATTTGACACTGAGTCCAGACTAATATTTTACTGCCCAGTTACGTAACTTCAACGTTGCTGCCCCAAGTTTGACATTTAATTTCCAACAAGTTTTCCAACAAAAACCACCATAAACAAACGTATAATGTGGGTTTTGGTTAAAGACATTTAAAAAAAAAGCACCTGACGACACACAGAAATGAGCTGCTAGGGGTCCTGGTTAGGGATGGGTATTGATAAGATTTTCACGATTCTGATTCCATTTTCGATTCTGTTTAACGATTCGATTCTTTATCGATTCTTTTTAAAAAAGGAGAACACACAGGTCGAGTAGCTTAGAACTTTGTTTTATATCTTCTCTTTGAACAAGATAGAAATTTAGGAGTAACATGGCCTTACAAACCCAACAGTAGGGATGGGTATCGTTTAGGTTTTATCCGATACCGGTGCCAAACCGGTACTTTTGAAACGTGCCGGTGCTTAAACGGTGCTCAAACCGGTGCTTAAAGAATGGAGAACACAAAATTGGTCCAAAAACCTCTCATGTTCAGCTGTTTTTTGTAAAAAGATAACAATGTTAGCCTTTTCTGCAGCTATGGGGCATATATGGTATCACTCTTGGCTGGAAGCAGTGCTTAAACAATGGAAAAAACACAAACTTTGTCCAAAAACCTCTCATGTTTAACTGTTTTCCACTTTTTCTTTGGTCATTTTAGCCTTTTTGGCCAGGGTGAAGGGAGTATCTGCCATCAAACAAGAAGACAGCCGCATGTAGCTATGATGATGTTTGCTAGTTCACCTTACATGCATTAATGTAATAACGTGGTTAGCCTACTCAACGTAAATTACACACGAACAACATTAAGCTACTCACGCAGAGAAGAACGGCTGCTGCTGCCATCATCATCCGTCATCATTTCTGCTACACTGGCAGGGCTAGGGGCCAGGACTCTCCTCTTCGGGTTTTTGGGGGATGTTGCTAACTCCGGGTCCGATAACAGGCAACCCACCCGCAGTAGATGTGCTCGGTGTGAGGTCTCGCAGCAAGCTATCAAATACGGCGCATTTCTCGGCTTTTAAAAAAAACCGCTATGCGTCGCCAGGTGTTTCATCGGATTTGAGGTGTTACCTCCTTTGACAGTATCACAGTATCAGCTTAAAGCACTTGTTGCAGGCTGCTGAGTTTGCATCTTTTGCTGTGAAGTACAGCCAGACTTTTGACCGCTTCGCCTTGGCATTTTTAATCTGTAGCTCTGCTCTAAAAGAACGTACGTACCTGGCCCCGCCTACTATCCTCGGAAACGTAAAATGATTGGCTAGAATCTAAAGTGTATCACAGCTCAGGAAAAAAAAGCACCGAAATAAAGCACCGAAATGTGCGCTGCTTTTCGGTCTGGTTACTACCGTTTATGTCAGAACCGGATACCAGGTACCCATCCCACCAACAGTGAGATCTTAAGAGATCACAGCCTACGGCTCTTCAATGGGGTGTCACAGGGTCCCCAGGAAAAAAAATGTAAATGTAAAATAATAAAATAAATATTCTTCTGTAGCAATAACAAAGTATAACATAAATTATTCTGTAGCAATTAGCACAAGAATATCCAGTAATGTCCCTGCCTACAATTAAACACATTCACTTACTGAAAATCGGGGGCATCTGCTGTGGCAAGCCTTTGACCACAAACTTAGACACTGCTGGTGACATTCGTCTATCCTGGCCTGAAAGGAGACGCTACCGGTAGACTGCAGCGAGAACTGCCAGCATCTGAGCCAGCCAGACTCTGTCTCTCTCATCATGGTCACCTAAATGCACAGTAATGGCAGGTTTTGTAATAAGGCAGATCGCGCTAACATAATATGCACTGTTAGTTGATTATTTACCTGCCGCATTAACGGGAGAGGACGTGCAAACGTTACCGCTGCTGCTGGGTTGAGATTCACGAGTCCGGAGCGGAATTAAAAACACGACATTCATTTAAGGTCATCGCGTGTTTTGTGAGCAAATGCTTTTGCATATTCGTAGTGTTTCCTCCCTTAAATGAAATATCTACTTTGCAAGTATTGAAAGTTGCCCTGTTGTCATCCGTTGTCGTAAAGTATAACCAAACTTTTGAGCGTTTGAGCCGCCATGTTTCCTGCCAGGTAAATGACGCTCCGCAACGTGGTGACGTCATTTGAGGCGACTGGAATCGATAAGGGAATCGTTTGCAAAAATGGCAAACAATTCCAAGGAATTGAAACAGCGGGAACCGGTTCTCAACAAGAACCGGCTTTCGATACCCATCCCTAGTCCTGGTATTTGGTTCAACCCCAAATCATTAGCTCATTTCCACTAATAAACATCTGCCTGAATTACCTCAGTATACACATAATGTCATAATGTGTTTCTGAAGATTTAAGACAGAGATACTGATTTTCATTAAGAAATAAAACATCAAGTAAAAGGACTGATATATACTGTGGTAAACACCAATCTCAGTCCTAAAGTCCCACATGAGGAGTGCTTTTATTTCAACTGCTATTGAGCTGAATTATAGTGGTGATTCACATTCACAAGCTCAGTTTCCTTTGACACACCCAGCCCGTGATTCAGCAGGAGCTACAGGTTTTAAATCTGGAGGAGGAAAAAAAAAAAAACCCTACTGGGTCTTTTTCCCATGATGGTATTCTATGGAGAGCCAACTGAATAACACCAGAACCTACCCTGCTGGATTAACAAGCAAAAGACTGAAGCAATTGCATACACACACAACCACATCCCTCAAACAGCCCACAAAGGTGCGAGTAATGCAGTCAAATACTCGCTCGACCACTTCACGCCTACCTACAACCGACAGTATTGAGCATGTCGCTGCATCTGCCTTCCACGCCCTGTTTTCCCTCCTTCCTTCCTCCCTTTCCCGCTGGAGTTGGCTGTTGTGTGTGTGTTGTGCGGGAGATGTTAAGTGTTTTCTGCATGAAAGCTCTGTTTAAAAAGCTGTGAGTGCTCTTATTTAAATAGTAGCACCTTTTACAAACTGCATCAGATTTAAAGAAGGAAAAGATTCTGTTAGGATGCAAGTTTACAAAAGCATTAGAGCAGAAATCCAACTGCCACAGCTTACGTGCTGCAGTCAGGCACGTAGATTTTTCTACCTGAGCAACAGGTTTTAGTACAAACATAATCAATTGCTTTTCACATGTCCTACAACAGCTCTGCATTTCAGTGTCATATAATGCAGACAAGTAACAGATTGTGCTTTCTCTCCCTTTTCCCATGCATATGCCCCGAAAACCCTGCATCTGTATTGTAATGAAATGTCATCTCTTTCCATCCTCTCCCGCTTGGATGACAAGATCAAAGATGTTTCATATAAATTCATTTGCATGGCACAAGCAAAAGCCTCTTTGTGGAGACCTTACCAACAGTTTGATTACATTAAAAGGTAAAAGAAAACTGTATCAGATGTGAGCTTGTCACAAACTGCCATTTTCAGTGGTCACTGTCTAATGCCACTGCAATGCCTAAAGCACTGTTTATTTACTAGAACCATACAGCCCATTATAAATTAGTCACTGAGCTTTAAAGCCTCATAAAAATGAATGATTTGGGATTGTCCGTACTGTCTGCAAACTCATTTAAATTGATGACTGTCTTCAAACAGCTGCTGATTCTAACCAGAATGTGTATTTTCCATTAGGAGGATGAGAATGTTATTACCGGTACTACCGACTGAACTGCTGACACAACTGTCAGCTGCTTTTAATGCAAACATATTTTTTATATAATCAGTTTTCACAATCCCCTTTTAACTTTTGTTTTAAAGCATTTCAATCATTTCACTTATCTGGAAGCTTTAAGAGGCCAAACAAATGTCAAACTGGCATATCCTGGATGTTGTCCAGTATTTAATGAAAGGTAATAAAACAGACCAGGGTTCGATAAAAAAAAAAAAAAAAAAAAAGAGCACTACATGGCTTTAATATGAACTTTGACTTGCATTTCCAAGTGCCAACTTTGTCAACTTATGCTATATTCTCAATATAAAAAGAGATCTGACATGAATTACTTTAACCTGGTGATAAATGTGCTTTTCATACCTGGATGCGGTCTGGTGAAAGGTCCATCTTTGGCCTGTGTCACTCCAAAACAGAGGAACACCAGGATGCTGGCCACAATACCCCTAGAGGACACACATTTGGGAATTCATTGGAATCACAAAGACTTCTGTATCGATTCCTCATACATGTTCTTACTGAACCACCAACAGACAAACAGCCTATTTTCATGTCTTTACACTAGGAAAAAAGTGAACCTCTATGCGAACTACTTCTCCAAAAACCTGGAATCCAGCATTCAAATTACAGATATCAGACTGGAATGTGGGTAAACAGAAAAAAACTGTTTGTCCTGTGTAACAAAAAGGGTCCAGCTCTGTGTCTGAAGGAAAAACAAAAGGATAGTAAGTGTTTACCCAAAACAAATTAGTATGTGAAAAAAATTAAATCTTGTCCTTAACCCAATTGAGATGTCAGGCAATGCCTTCAACAGGCTTTTTAAAGCAATCAGAAATATTGATGAACTCACAGCATTGTAGGAAGAATGGCCTACAATTCCACCACATCACTGTTCAAGTCTCAGAAGTAGCTACAGGACACATCTAAGGGCGATGGCTCAACATGTTCACCCAGCGTGTTCAATAAAGACATGAAGTTCACCTGTTTGTGTTTATTAGCTCAGTCAAATTGTGTTTGTCCATTAATAATAATAATAATAATAATAATGGATTGGATTTATATAGCGCTTTTCAAGACCACTATTCATTCACTCTCGCATTCACACACTGGTGGAGGCAGCTACGGTTGTAGCCACAGCTGCCCTGGGGCAGACTGACAGAAGCGAGGCTGCCATATCGCGCCATCGGCCCCTCTGGCAAACACCAGTAGGCAAGTAGGGTAAAGTGTCTTGCCCAAGGACACAATGACCAGGACAGAGAGCCCAGGGATCGAACCGGCGACCTTCCGGTTACAGATGCGATTCCCAACCCCCTGAGCCACAGTCGCCCAATAATTACTGTAACTTCAATTAAAATCAGTATGCATTTCAAAGGGGCCGGAAGGCTTTTATTACAGCTACACATACAAGTCTCAGCATTTCAACCCCGTAAACCTTTAAGATCTGTGATGTCAGATCAATCAGACAAGGCATGAATGGGAGCATAATGGCTTGGAGAATTAATAATTAAATAACTTGAATCTGGAGGTCTGGTCTACTGCTTCTATTTCAATATTACAACTTCATTTGTGTTTATTAAGAACCAGCTAAGACCAGCCAAGTTGAGCTTAAGTTGCTGTTGATTTAAGCTCTGAAAACTGGATGACCAGACGAGGACCCTGTCCTGACCTTACAAGTAAACAGAGCAGGCTTAAAAGACTGAGCATACAATGGGATTACAGTGCGTGCTAGCCAACAAGCGTAGGAGCATGAGCATGTGAGATTTAGGGATCAATTTCTTCGCTGTTTGAGTCTGGAATCAAATGAATGTGTGTTCAAAGAATACAACACACAAAGTGAAGTTGTGTGTGAACTAGTGAGAGTGGTCCCGGATTGCAGGGTTGACTGGGAGTTGAGGAGTAACCAAGCAGTGCCTGAGAGTGAGCTCCGCTTCCAGGGTGAAGCTCTTAGGGTATTTATCCCAAGGAGCCAGACTACGCTGATGGCAGCAAATCCTGTTAAGGAGCATCCACACAAATGCAACCTACAAATCACCCCATCTGTCGCAAACACACATCACTGATAGAGCCTGTTTTGTGCCTGACCTTCTCAATACACCTAAGTACAAAGTAAGAACAACTAACTATAACCCTGCTTTGTGTCACAGATTTTTAGCTGTAACACACGTAAATGGGAGTTTTAAGCCACATGCAAACTTGCCTTGACTAAATCTCCCTGTTTGAAATACAAGAAGCTATAACAAACACTATCAGGGACAGGTCTGACCATTTCCATATTTATTCAGCAGCATGGCAACAGCTCCAAAAAAAACTTTAGCCACAAGAAAAACAAGTTCTGCAACAGCTTATGTATTCCCATAGGAACACTGCTTTAGTGCACCTCCTACTCCTACCTGCCTTTTCCTACCAGGAAGCACAAAGTAGCTGGCACAACTTCCAGCAGTCGCTCTGCAACTTTCTGTAGTTTGCAGTAATAAAAGAAACTGAAATAATTTGGCATTTATCCAAGTCTCTGTGGTTTAATAAACGTGATAAAGTTGGATGTATATTTCCCTCCAAAGTTTAAATAAAACCCATTAAATCTACTTGCTAAATGCTCAACTCGTATTTATAGTGTTCTTTTCATGGCCAAGACTGTTTTATACATGGCCTTGTAAGCTCAAGGTGAGTGTGACTGTAAAGGCTAGTGACTCATCTCAAATGGTGACTTTTGCTCCTTGCCCATGTTTAATAGGAAATAAGTGGTTTATTCCAAATGTTGTTTTATATAAAAAAAAATAAAATAAAAAAAAATCAGAGTAGCTACTGGTTGGTTGGTTGCATTGCGGCGTTACCCCCACATTTAGATTTGATCTATTCTCCAAGTGTGTCGTGACAAAAAAACTGAGCAATAAAATGTGCTGTCCCTCACGAAGCAGATGAACTCAAACCTCAGCAGTCTGCACCTGCTGCTGTTCCAGTTAGACTGTCTGACTCGTAGCCCATCTCCAGAACAGAAGAAGAGCTGCTTCTGCCAGTTGCAGTCTATAACGGTGGAGATAAAAGTATGTAAGAGATGCCCTCTGCAGAAGCAGCAGAATGACATGGAGGATGACCACAATAGCAACTTAGTTCAAGACCCAGCCAGAAGGGAAAACACAAGGTAGGAAGGGCTGTAGCTAGCTGGTTAGCTGGAACTGAATTTCCAAGACTTTCAGCGAGTAAAGCTTAAATGAGTTGTTAAATATACAATGGGCCGACACAATGGTAAAGTTCCATATAATATCCCGCATTATATGGAACTTCACTTTGGAGATGGTACTAGGTCCAAATAATCAGGAGACTTGGTTTTGCAGAACATCACCTTGACATTGCCTTGTGGCACGGCCCTATCCAGATCAGTCAATTGTGCCATGAAGACACCAACAGACCGCTGTAGCACGATCCATTATTGGTATCTGATTAGCAGCATCCAGCGTTCCAGAAACTCAAAACAAGATTCAGTAGCAGAATAAGCTGTCTGGGATTGGCAGAGAAGATTGGCATATTTTATTTCCATGGTCACAACCTGCATATTTAACTCAGCTGCTCAACCCACAAATGCTTGTTGCTTCAAATTGTGGCACCATTTAAGGGGAAACAAACAGTATAAGATGCATTGTCAGCAAACATTGTTACAACAAAATGACCAAACACAAATTTCCTAATGCTAGTTACCAATAAAATAATCTCTCTCTCCCTCTCTCTCTACATAAACTGGTGCAAAAATGATATCATGAAGCTTCAGTTTAAAAGCCTCCTGGGGTTAAAGTAGATTTTTGGGTGCCTGAGTTTTGGAGTGTTTTGGCTTTGGTGACACTGAGGAAAGGAGAAATGCAACCTACTGACCTTTTAGTGTTGTAGGCCGTGTCCTGAGGAGTCTCCTCCAACAGCGTGACGTAGACCAGAGCGCAGGTCAGAATGAACAGCACTGTGACAGTATGGGCTCGCCTGCAGTGAAAGTGGGGGAAAGGACAGAGAGAAGGACGAGAGTACCATTTGTAGAACAGGAAAGTCAAATACCAGTCAGCACAGGACATAAAAAAACAAAAAACAAAACACAACACAACAACCAAAAAAAAACCCTAGATAGGCTGATGTTGTCTGACATCACCATGAGACAACGTTAAGCAACACTGAGATAACACTACAACATTGGAACGGTCTAAACAAATCTGAACGTAAATCTGCTCGTTGCTAAAAACATCTTTGTTGCCTCCAAATATCAAAAGGCATATATAGGGGTAAATCAAGGACAAAATAGGAGATGAAATCTGTTGGGAAACTGAGTTGCTACAGCTAAAAATAGTTACAAAGTTTGTGATAAGCTTCAGTTCAAACCTTTCTTTAACTTGAAGTCAAAAATAGCTTTTGCATCAAATGTCTTGTGCCTGACAGTGGATGGAAAAGCTTTATATCAGGTCTGTTTAAACAACAGAATTTGTATGCTCTGGCAGACAAGGTGAGCTGGAGTTTGATAGCCATGTTGTTGGCTACAGGCCCAAGCTGTATCTTCCATCACCCCATGTCAGCAAACATACTTTGGCCTCTGTGGTGTGACATTCTAGTTGTTTAGATATACGTCCACGCAACCTGAGGTATTTACCTCAGCTGACAGGGCAAAGTTTTACGATAATGTCAGGGTCAAGAGAATACACGCTATATAATGGGAGATTTCTCGATTAGAAATAGACAAAAGGACCTGAATGGTATTTGGAATGCTGACAAGTGCATAACAGTTGATAAGTTCTAGAAAGACAAATGGGGTGACTGCTCAGAACAGTGGCAGAGTCACCGAGTTTCCTTATCACTCCTGGAATGTTGACGCTGATCAGGCTGCAGGTGGACTGAGCCAGTATTCATTAGGGAGGAGGGATTTCTGGGAATAAAGCTAATCCAGATATCTTTAAAACTCATTTTGTCTGTTGGTTAAAACCCCAAAGTAATGGGTTATATACCCTGACACCAAGTAGCATCCAAACATGCAACATGTAGGTGAACTGTTAAGCTTAAGTAAATAGAAAACAATCAACACAATCAACACTGGTGTCGACCTGTTTACATGACAGTGTGTACCAATGACTGATCTGAGTGTTACTCGTACTAGTTACAAAGCACTTACAGGAAACATTTGTACGATACCTTTTTTGTTACTTAACCATTATGTGAATACCTAAATATCTGTAATAAGCTAAGACAAAAACGTGTGACAACCAAATGTCAATCATAACACATCTTACATGACAGATGCCATCACGCCTCAAGTTTTAAACCTGTGGAGAACAATTATAGCAAGTGCATTTTATTCCTGCCAGCCCTCTCATTAATGAAAGGGTCACCAGCTGCAGTAGCCTTAATATTTTGGGGTAAACAGCCAAGCGACATATACTTTATAAATCTGTCTAATCTAAAACTACAGAGGCAATGTGCTGCTCTGAGAATTTAGATCAAAAGAAAAAAATAATTAAAGGGTACCTGAAAGTGAGGTATAGCAATTCTGTAAGAAGTTTTTTAAAAATAATAAAGTGCCAACTTTGAGTCACATTTCTTTTGGCTGAACCTTGATGTGCAAGACAGCACACCAGGTATTGTCAGCCTTTTTCCTGTTCCACCTCCTTATCCAACCTGTTTGGCTGGAGCCACAGGGGGAGGACATGGTTTCTCTCTTTGCTGACAACGATACACCACCACCAAGAGTGGAAAGGTGCAGCGGAAATACTGGTTTTGTGCAACAGAGCAACCAGCTAAGCTTAGAAACAAAGTGCACCTCTAAGCTTGAAGTTAAGATTAAAAAAAAAAAAAAAAAAAAAAAACAGAAGAAAAGATTCTGCTTTATGCCAGCCTCATGACTAATCAGAGTCTAGATTTAAGGATGAAATTGGATTAAAATAGCCTTCGACTTTAATGACAAGCAGAGACAAACTAACAATTTAATACAATGCGTCTCCTTGTCAGTTTCATCTAATTAAACATTTGCCGAAACCAGTGTGAACAAAACTGCCATTATTTTGAAATGCCTCAGCACTAAATCAGTTTAAGGGAAAATAAAAGTGGAACGCCAGCACAATCACATTTAATAAGTCAGAGTTCTTTATAAGGCATATTAAAACTTTACCAAAATAAAAAAATAAATTTAAAAAAAAAAAAAAAAAAAAAAAAAAAAAAAAAAAAAAAAAAAAAAAAAAAAAAAAAGAGTTTGGCGTTGTCAGTTCCTTCCTGTGCCAGTGATGCAGGGTGAATACCATTTTTAACCAAAAGCTGCTGCCATACAGCTTTCTACTATGAACTCTGAACCCTTGGGAGACAGAGTCCATGTGGTGCCCTACCACCTACACACTTGGAAATACACCAACAACTGCCATCTTTTTCCTAACCTGCTTCATATATGCAGGTTTATCATCTGCAGTCAGCACTTGAAAATGTTCCACAAAAAAGGTTCAATCGTACAAATAACTGCAGAATGTAAATTCAAATGACTCACAGGAAGAACCACTTTCTGTTCTTGTTTTTTAATGCATTCATGTATGTAATACTAGACAGCAAAAATTCAGGATGCAATCAACAACACCCACAGACTGTTGTTATGTTGACCCCTAAAGCAAACAGCTAAAAAGCCCTTGTAAAACTCTAAACTTTACAATGCTACGTCGTAAGACTACATCTGGATGACTGCCGACACATTTAATTGCCACATAAGTGGGTAAAACCTGGTTTAGGTTCAGTCTAATACAGCAACCCTGCCCTCATGTATTTGTCAATATTGTTCTGGACAAGTGACCCTGATTATAAAAACAAGATTCTTGTATTTTCATAACTGCAACAGACAAAAGGTATTTTAGCTCCTGATAACACCTCACTACAGAAATCTGATGCCAAGGCCGTACCACAGTAATGAGAAATTCTCATTAAGGTTCCCACTGGGAGGACCAGTCTCCTCTGCTGTCAATGATATTGGATAGCTTAGCAGATTCTTATTCAATCCATATTTTTTTTTGTACACAAAGCAGAAATGAAAACCGCACAGACACTCAGAGAAGCTTAAATATTCCTCGAGTGACAGGCTGGAAAGCTAACGTAGCTATAAATTAAAAAGGGCTGCAGAAGAGAATGTTACTTTTCCAAACTAGCTGCATAGCATATCACAACGAAACCCGTGTCCTGCAACATGCGTGTGGTATTCCCATTGTGCATGCTTTTTTCTTTTTTAGTTGGCTCATACATACTTTTGTTTACGTAGTGAGAAATAAAACATGCGGTGTTAGGAAAGGCAAATGAAGTATGTGCTCATTTCTACACTTTGCAGGACAGGTATTATACCTGGCACATCTTCAGATCTGTCGTGAATGTCAAAGAATCTCTCAAGTGTAATATCTGAGCCCTGAGTTTGGATGTGCAATGTGAGCATCCATGACAACACTGCAAACCCCACAACACCTCCAGAAGTGACATTTAGTGGATCATGTTTACTGGAATAGTTGCACCAGGATGGAAAAACAACAACAAACATTTCAGTTTGACCTGGCATTTACAGCAAGGTCACATTATCTGCTGTCATTAATGGAGGTCGCTCTGGGCCTGTCTTTCAGTTCACCTTGAAGCACATATTACACCCTGCTGTCAACTAACAAATGCTTCCTCCCCTTCTGTCTCTGCAGGAGCCGTGAACTTGCACTGACACCGACACAAACACTCACCAGAAAAAGGTGTTGGTTCCGTCGTCGTAGACTTCGCACTCTGTGTTTCTCCGGTGCAGATTCTCCCTGGAGGTCTGCTTCATCACCTTGGCTTTGATCGCTGTGCTCTGATCCGGACACGCTGGATCCACGGAGCCGTTGTTAACCTGCTCGCCGACGCTCTTGCCCGCAGCCACGCCGCTTTTCTTCGACTCCGGCTTGGTCATGGTTCTCACCGACCAGCCGCCCTGCGCTGCTTTAAAAAAAAAACTGATCCCGTGCGCTTTGGTTTATCCCTGAGCTTTCCTCCCGTCTACTGTCATCCGCGTCAGCCCCACCCAAGTGGCTGTCAGCATCCTGTGGTGGTCGGGGGAAATGAACGTTACCAGGGCGACACTTGAAGGGTGGGGAGAATAACCTGAAAATCACGCCCTGCTGCTGAGCTGACCTGCCCGGCACGGACAGCCGCACTCACATGCAGATGAGAAATGCAATTGAGTCAGGTTTGACACCGCCTACTTATTTTAAAGCATTTCTACATAACCTTCAGAGTAACACTTCTATGTGTCAGCAATGGCGACCACTTTCCCACATGCCCACTGGGGAGAGGAGGGGTTGGTGGGTGGGGTATTACACGGTAAACAAAATCACTGTGCCTGCACTTCGATGGGTGCGTAGCGTTGATATAAGGCAGCTTGGTGAACTGCGTTAGCTATTTGTAGCAGTTTGACCTTGCCAGCGAGACTGCGGTGACTGACAAGCTCCTTATCAATTAACCAATCAAGGCAAAACCGTAATTACTTATGCCATTATTGATTAGCTACCTATTCCTTGCCGGGGAAATAATCAAGCTAACATTACTTACCAGCTGAATTTACGGGCTTACTGACCGGAGTCCGAATGTATTTTGCCATTAGAAAAAGCTACATTTGTATAAAAGTAAAAGAACCCGAGGAACAATTGAAGTATACTGGTGTATTACTGTAGCCCGTCTTTATTGATACTACTAACAGATAAACCGCATCAGCTACCTTACCGTCTACGCGCGTCACGTGGGCATAGCGAAAGCGCCGGTGTGTGGTTGAGCAATCAAGCGGCTTCCGGTTTATTCGTTTCACCAACAAAGTTCTCTACGATGCGCTACATTGACGCAATCTTATTTTGAAATACAAATATTTCATTCGGAAGTTAAACTCTCGTTACTTACCGTAAATTTAACACTTTGATAGCCTGACCTATTTGGCGGGTTTAGTTAATCCGTTTACATGTAATATTGATAAGTAAATGGTAAGTTTTAGAAATTTCGCAGTAACAGTAAGTTTTAATGCAAGTAACTGCAAAAAACGGCACTGTTAACTTGGTTAGACTATAAAACTATTATTAAAACCGCATTGTTTTGGCTAGTGCTATATATGGGTATTTGGTATGTCGTCATTTCCGCCTAGTTTAAAAGTGACGTTATTTGCATACAGAAATGTTTAAATAATCAGTTAAATATAAATAAACAAAATGGTGTTTGTACTTATTATTTAAAGCAAACTTTTTTTTTAGTTTTGTTTTTCATATGACAAAATAATATGCGTAATTGTTTCAGAGAGCATACAAAATCATTGCCAGGTTATTCAGTAAAACTCAACTGCGCTGACTTTCTGATGACGTGAAGCACTACATTCATAAAGTCAGTGAAAAACATAAGAAGCATAAAATGCAAACAACTTTCCACAATTTCCACAAATAGTGTTTATAATACTCACCTCTGACGTTAATAGTCAGTTACTTATTAAACAATATGTTTCCTTTTTTGGCCTTCTTGAAATTGCAGGTTTACTATCCGATAGCTCATACTTTTATTGATTATTATTATCATACTTATTATTGCTAAAGGTCCCAATTAAATATTTTGATTTAATTGGGACCTTTAGCGCCTGATACACAAGATCTTGTCTCTACTAATCAATGTGGTGTAAACATACCCGTAGATGGAGCAGTCTGCCAAGATGTTAACATGTGCCTGTACTGTCTGTTCTCTGACAGCTGTCACAGAAACTTTTAAAAGTTTGCCACAGTGAGGTTGGTATAATATTTGCTAAAACGTCCTCGCCGAGTTTTTTTTAGTTCAGGATCGTAACAGAAGCTCCTCCTTAAGACGTCCCTCTCAACATACCTGACTGCACATGGCAGCTATTATTATGTGTTGTGTAACTAGAGATGTTGCCAAAGGTGAAAAAGCAAGGTGGGAAAGCTGTTCTGAACTTTATGTTTTCAGTTATTATTGAAACTAAACTAATAATCCCTCTATTTTCTTATATATTATTTTTTCTTTGTTCTTTTTAAACATACTTTAATACGTTTGTGAAGCCGTAAAAATCAGATACGGGTAGCTTGAAAAATACTTACAGTGATTACACAAACATTATGCAGGGGTTAGTAATGGGTAAAAGGTACTGACTTGTAAATAAGAGGACCTGAATAATTTAGCTTATTATATAATATTATACAACAGGATATTTTAAACTAACTAGGCAGCTCATTCTTTGTTTTGACGACACTTTCTTTAAAGATATAAAACATTGTGGGTTCAACTTGAAAGAAAGTTAGATGTGAGATGTTAACATGAGGTCAGAGGTCAAATATGATATGATATTTGGATGCAAAATATAAGGTGATATTTAGAATACCCATATATCATTGCCTATAAGCCTATATGTTCTCAGTACAAACAATGGCAGTAATAAATCTGTATAACATTATGCAAAGCTAGTTAAAACTTGCTTATTATCACTTTGACCTTCAGCTCAGTCTATTGGCTTTGAAGGAGAGGTCAGAGGACAAATATGACATATTTTAAATATTAGTATGGTACTTTGTATTTGTTGATAAATTGACAACACGCACTACACGTCTACAAAGTTTCACTGGAATTCATTCAAAACTTTTTGAGCAATACAACTACCAGTTGTATGTTTATAGTTTTCAGTGTAAGGTTTAGTGTGGCATCACTGTTTCTAAAGACCTCACTGCCCAAAGTAGCCATCATATGAGTGCAGTGACTCATATGAGTGAAGCATGTGTTTGGCTTTTGTTTTCATAACGGGAATAAATGGTGTAGCCTGAAGCTTTAAGCATTTCTTGGAAACAGTTTGATTGGCTGGCTTTTAAAAACAGTAGCATTAAAGTATATATATTGCTTTAAATAGAGCATTCCTCTGCCTCTCTATGATTAAGAACATGTCATGTTGCACTTTAACCATAGTTATAATAAAAGTTTTAAAATTATAAAGCACAACATAAATCAAGGAAGTAAAGCCCCTTGCAACTAAAGTAATTGAGAGGCAGAGTTCAAAAAACGTTCAGGGGTCATGTAGATGAACTATAAAGTCTTTTGCCTGAAGAGAAATAGAACAAGTCAGCCACAAACCGCAGCACATTTTAGATATTTACTCATGCATAAGTGCTATAAAAACACTGAAAGCACTATTTTAACTTCTGAACAAACAGCTCGGCACAGAATGTTTTAAAGGACTGGACACAGGCTTATATAATTACAGCTCACAATTTGGCAGAAATGTACCATCCAGTTGGATGGTAGCTGGTGGATTAACTAAGCAAATGAAGCATGTACTCCTTCAATTTTCTGTCAGAAAAAGAAGTTGATTTCGTGACATAACATTTTCATTTTCAAGTTTGTTTTCTTTTGCTGACATGTAATGAGGCAATAGTCAGTAATGGGTAGTATTTTCAAGGTCCTGACAGCAATGCACAACTTTAAAAATAACATATGCAGATGTTTGCTTATGTCATGCTGTTGCAAATGGATGCATCAGTAGCACAGCAGAAGTTTGAAGTGTCTCTATGTTTGCATTTCTCTTTGTATTGTAGAATATGCATTTCTTGTAAAAGGTCTGATGATCTTAAATGTCGTTTGACGGAGTGGCTCATCACTCTTGGAGTGGGTCGTCATGGGTGTGTCACATGTTTGCCAGCTTCAGTCTTCAGAGAAAGCATGCAGACAAAACAGTTTTATAGCTGTCATGTGGAACAGCGGGCCTCAATGACCGTATATTCATCTGCTAAAAGTCCCAGCAGTGATGCCTGCAGACACTCTGCAGGATCAAAAGGATCAGTTTGTTCAGGTGAGGGGTCTGCGTGTGTGTGCTTTTTAGTTACTCAAGAGCCACGACAATAAAAACAGAACACAAACAATGTGTTTGCACAGTCAACCTGAAAAACACACAAGTCCCTAGTTAAATATATCAATTGGGATTAATGCACTCATTATAAATCAGTAGACAGCTGTTTTCTTCCTATTGTGTTTACATTTTTTCCTCTTCAGTTAACTTTAAAAAAAAAAAGACCATAGCTGTTGGCCTCTTTTTTTCATATACTACATATATGCACATTTGTTTCACTGCTTTAACGTGACCAGTGGAAAGGAAACATGTTAAAACAAATAAAATCCAATCCAAAAACCTACTGCTCATATGCACTTTTTAATTACCGGTAAATGTTTTATTTGAGTTCAGTTTAATTTCACATTCTGTTCTATGTGGTTCAAGGCCTTCCTTTGATTAATCAAGTATTTGACAATAGCTTAAACACAGTTAGAGCTCAACCCTCTTTGTCTGTTCCATCAATCAACATGTTGCCCACAGTCTAGTGAGCCTCCGGGTTTTTTTTATTTTTTATTTTTTTTACTTGGATTGGGCCCTCTGGATATTTCCATTCAAGTCAAAGAGCAAGTTAAGTCATCTATAGTGTGTGTGTGTGTGTGTGTGTGTGTGTGTGTGTGTGTGTGTGTGTGTGTGCGCGCGCGTGTGTCAGCTAAATGAGTCAGGCTACATAGCTGACTGACCACTCCTGATGAAAGAGATTATTTTCCCCTTTGAAAGACGAATGAATCCAGACTTTCTCTTTGCACTTTAATTGACTTGAAACCATCAGGTGATAGTATCAGCTGGTGGAGTACACCCGAGGAGCAGAAGAGTTATTCCCACAATCAAAGAATTGTGAAGCAAATCTGTAACCAGCTTGGGACTGAGCGAAGTGATGAGATAAGTTTTGGTTTGCACTGAGTTATATGTAAATAACCAGCAGCAGAGGCACTGATCAACCTTATCTGTGATCTGCTTAGGAGGATGTTGTGTGTGCAGTTAATTGGTTACCATCAGTATAAGCAAAATAAAACCGATTTATGTGTTTATTCGTTTACATTGACTTTACATGGCTTCAAATTAGGTTCACCAGCTGGGTCAAATTTTAGTAAACTTGTATTACCAGCAGGGGGCGCCAAAAGACAACAGTCAGATTTCTGCCCGCTTACGTTCATTTTCACTTTAACCCTCAAGTGACCATGCTGTTTTTGTGAGTGGACTGATTTGTGGTTTACACACACACACAAACAATCTTAGTTCTGTGAACTATGACTGCAAACAATACAGTGTAGTGAAGAGAAACTGAAAATTCCACTAAACATTGAACAAATACCTGTAAAATCTTCAGGAGTAGACTGACAAATTTGTGCTATGCAGCATGTTTATTAAACAAAATCACTAAAGCACATTTCATCTAGCCAGGATGGCCACTTCAAGGTTAAAAGACTCAAAAACAAATCTTTTTGTTGTTGTTGAAGAACATTGTTCAAGCATGCGTGCTTTAAATGCTTCTTCTTAATAGACAATTAATTGTTCTTGTAAAAAGAAAGCTAATTATTTTCAAAATCATTAAAAAAAAAACCTCTAATGAACGTTACACCCTTATAATATCGTTTCAGTCCTCATGGATTCAGTTTACAGTCCCGAATCAGGAAAAGTGTCACATATTACTGTCGCTGTCACATGAGACCACCTGACCTTTACTGGAAGTGTTTTAGGAAGCCTGCACACATATGGCCAGACCCTGCGTCCCTCGGTCTTCTTCCTGCTGCTTTGATGACGCTCACATGTAAACCTCTTGACCTTATGTGACATCACGTTGTTACACAGAGCTTGCATTCATCCTCCTTTTCAGGATGAATGTGGATAAAAAAAATTT